ATTCGGTGAATGCAGTAAGAGTGTAGAACTGTATCTTTAAACTTCTAAAGGAAAGAAAATATGTCTCAAGCATTTCATAACCATTCAGATTATTCCTGAAGTATGGTATAAGTAAGGTGACAGGCACCCTAACCCAGGGATACCAGAAAATAAAAATATCCATGTTTAAAACAAATAAGAATAAACTCCCTGAGGATATCAGGCAACTAAGAGAAGACCCAGAATAAAACCTCAGAGCCAGGTGTGGTGTTGCTCTCCCAGCTCCCTGGAACTTGAGGCAGGAAGATTGCAAATTTGAGCCAGCTTGGGAAGTATAGTGATTTAGAGAGACACTGTCTCAAAAGAAAAGTTAATAAGTGGAGGGGCTGGTGATATAGCTTAGTGTGAAGGCTTTGTGTGCAATCCTCAGTATTGGAAGAAAACAAAAACCAGAGTGGAGAAGCCGTGGAACAGTGGTGTGTATCAGCTTCCTTAAGCAGAGTTCTAACACTAGCAACTCTGGGAATTATGGTTCCAGGCCAGAATGCAAATGTTATAAACCTTCAGAAATCAAAATCTTGGGGCTGGGGATATGACTCAGTGGTAGAGCACTTGCTTGCATGCATAAGGCCCTGAGTTCAAACCCCAGCACCGCATATATACACACAAAATCAAAATCTTTGTCAAATCATTTTTTTTCCTGATGTAAGGAGAAATGGAAAAATAGCAAAGCTATACTAACATTTAAAATATTTTAAAACTTGAAAATGGTGTTTTTCTTTGAAAAAAACAAAACAAAACAAAACAAAAAAAAAAACCACCTCATTGCAAGTAGTTTGAACAGTAGTCTTGCCTTGCTGACCTCTCATTGTATTACTTAAAATATGGAGCAGGCACCTTTTCTTTTTTTTTTTTTTGGTTTTTCTCCGGTACCGGGAACCGAACTCACGACCTCGCGCTTGCCAGGCAGGCGCTTTGCCGCTGAGCTAAATCCCCAGCCCCTTAGGCACCTTTTCTATACTTGGTAAATTGTCATGCTTATTTCCAAATTTGGATTAACTTCAAACATTTTATACTTTGCTCTTTTAGTGTCATGAAATATCTCTGGAAGTTCTTTTTAATAAGAGGGTTTTATTCAGACATCACTTCCTTTGTGACTTTTTTTATGTCACAACCATTTTGTAAATTTATGTCAGTAATTTGGCCTTCACTAAGTTTCCCTGGCTACACATCTATAGAGATTTTTGAATAGTGGCAGTGGTAACATTCCCAGGTCAGCCATTTCTTCTGTAACCCCATTTGTGTTTGTGGCGGTTAGGATGGAGTGCCAACTTGCTTGGCTTTGGGATCCATGTGGGGTTTGGCGGAGCATACTTTGCTGTGTCTGGGTGGGTCCTGGAGGCATGTCTTTGGGTATTGATTACACATGGTCCTTGGTCCATCCTTGCTGGCATGGTTCCCCTTTCTTTGCTTCCTACACCAGGTACTAAATAGCCCTTTCACGTTATGTTCCTATCTTAGAGCAGTTTAGCATGGATTACATTCTCCTAAAACAGCGAAATCAAAACTCTTCCTTTTTTTTTTTAGTTTTTTTCCAGTACCAGGAATTGAACTCACGACCTTGCGCTTGTCAGGGAAGCGCTGTGCCGCTGAGCTAAATCCCCAACCCCAAACCTCTTCTTTAAATTGTGAATGTAGCAACAGGAAAGGTGATTAATACAATATTAAATTTGAAAATCACTTCCAACATTCCCATCTTCCTTTTTCGTTTTTTTTTTTTTGGTTGTTGCTGAACTTTCATCTTTGTTGGCTAATTCCCTTTCTGCTGTCCATTTTTATGAACTGTCATGTAGAATGATTCTGAGTGACAAGAAGACACATATGACTCATCTGCTGTCTGTGAACTGAAGAACATGTGTATGGCTATATTTGTGTGCACATGAATATATTCATGTATGCAGTGATCAATCACTGACAGAATTTGAAAGGATGTAATATGATTGATTGTGGATCATGATGAGCATTTGTTATTTAAATAGTGATTTGTAGACTGAAGAACTAGCATCATATATTATAGTTTATAGAATATCTCATTGTATGCTAGGATAACTGACATTTGAACTATGTTGCTGAGTGTTTATTTCACTAAGCTAAAGTAATTGAAACCTGTGCATTCTAAGACTGAGCAGGGAGAAAGCTAAAATAACATAATTGACAGAAGTCCTACTCTGAGTGGGAAAAAGTATGAGTATGTTAATTGTGTGCTTGCCAGGGAGTTAATGTTACCTAAAATTGAAACGTAGTTAGAATTCTAACCTGGGAATGCTTCTCATAATCATATTTTATCAATCTTTCAGAGACTCTCCCTTGGTGAAGAAGCAATTCTGCAGGTCTTTCTTGTTTCTGTCCTTCCTATTAAGATCCATGACCAGCAGGTGGGAATATTCTCATCCAGTTCTGTGGCAGCAGTTACCCAAATTAAAGCACCTAGTTCTGGCTTATGGCCATGTGCCTAAGGTCAGAGCATCAACTCCTGCATCTTTTGGGCATTACCATACCTCTCACTGAAGCCTATCTTTATTTCTAATACCTCTGTTGTATTTATTTCTAATACCTCTGTTAGTGCACTTTTATCTTTTTACTTTGGTACTTTAAAGTTTCTTTCTTTGCAAGCTCAGCTGTGTATTAAATATTATTTTAAAATATTTATTCAGTATTTTATTATATTTATATGAGTAGGAAAGAAGATTTCCACATGTATTTTTTTTACCATTTAGACTGAATATTAACTGTCATGGTCATTCTTTAAAAAAAAATCCTGGTAACCTGAACTACAAAGTACCTATTAATAAATATTAAGAGATATGAGAGATCTGCAAGAAGAAACTAAATACATAGAAGAAGATTTGAATCAATATATTCCTAGATGAGAAGTCAGTTTGTAAAGATACCAGTTTCCCCATGTTATATTCTTCCAATTAAAACTTCAGTGGCATTTGAAGGAAATTTAAAAGTTATACAGAATAAATGTTGAAAAAACATGTTGCAGGGATAGAGTAATTAAGGTAATAGTTTTGGAATAGGAATGGGCAGCTAGGACTGTAGAGTAGAATGGAGAACACAGAAATGTGTGTTTATGGACAATTTTGTACAAAAGTCTGGTATTTCAAGCAATTAGGGAAGGAATAGATTCTTTTAAAAGTGGCATTTGGAAGGTTGGCTATTTTGGGGGAACAAACACCGTTAAATCCCTATTTCACATTATAAACAAAAATCAGTTCCAGGTAGAGTAAATCTCTAAATGTAAAAAATAAAAAATTATAAGAATACTATTTTCAGAAGTGTGAAGTAGCTTTGAAAAGCATTCCTTTGAAAAGCAATCCAGAAACCATAAAGAGAGAGACTGGCAGATTTAACTACACATTTAAAGCTTAAGGTGAAAGCACCAAAACAAAAGCCAGGAGATTGACAAAATGGAAAACATTGGTCATCTCCTGTGTTAGTAAGAGTATAATAAATTATAAGTTTGGTAGTATCTATCAAAAATTATCCATCCCCTTGACCTACAGATCTGTTTTTAAGCAATCCTCAGAAATACTAGCATATATACAGAAAATATATACAGATATTTCTTATTTAATGACCTACCTGTTTAACTACTGTTCAGACTTACAGTCAAGGTGCACTATTTTTTTTTTTGTCTTTTTGAGACAGGGTCTCACTATGCAGTTCAGGTTGGCCTTGAGCTCACTTTGTAGCCCAGGCTAGTCTTGAACTCGCAAAGATCCTCCTGCCTCAGCCTCCCGAGTGCTGGGATTACAGGCATGCACCACCACGCCCTGCTAAGGTGCACTATTTGGACATACAAGCTATTTTTTTTTTTTTTGGTACAGTTCTGTACATCTTGTTTATAGAGCCTCAATGTCTTTTTTGTATAGTACGCCTTGTTTATACAGTACTTTTTATAATTTTTGCTGATTGTCCTGTACAGTACAGTGCTATAGTTTTATGTTCTATTATACATTACAATACTGCATTTAAGAGTCATGCAGATAAAAGCAGAGTCATCAAGTTGGAGTTTCTTTTGAGCATTCATTTGTTCTGAATATTGTAGCGTACATACTATATGCAATTCCTTATTTAGCGGTCAGTTTAGTTAGCGACCTAGTCACAGGGACATAACTTGGTTGTTAAACAAGGAATGTCTGCTAGGCACACAGTTCTACAAAAGATTATATATATATATGCACGTAGGTGTTTTCTGCAGTATTGTTTATATGGTGAAAAATTGAAATCAGTGTCCAAGTTCATTAGTAGAGAAATAAATAAATTATAGCATATTCGTAGTGTGGAATTCTGTGAGGAGCAGGTACTGTTAGGGATATAGACCTCTGGTGTTAGGGTATCTCACTTAGAATTCTAAATCCATCACGTACTAGTTATGTGACCTATGCTTACTTAATTTCTCTGGGCCTCAGTTTTCTTACCTGTGAAATGAAGGTAATTGAATGTAATTCAATAAGTTGTTGCAATAATTAAATTACAAAGTATATAGAATTGTACTCAGACTGTAAATACTCAGTATTACCTAATGTCAAATTATCACTTTGCAGTTATAAAGTAGACCTATAACATTCCAGCATGAAAAAAACCCTATAATTTCAGTAAGTGAATTTTAGAGCACTGTCCCTATAGCATAAGCATCTTTTTGTAAATAAAACTTTTAAATGATATATGTGCATATATTTGAATGTATATGGATAAATATACTAACCTCAGGGGAGTGAGAGTATGGGAAGGATATCAGATTATCAATTTTTAAAAGAATTTTTTAGTACTGTTTGAATTTCTTCAAGCCTGTACTGAATTTGTGATTAAACTTTTAAATACGCCATATATAGTATAACTTTTGACTGACCTCCATTTTACTTTATTTTTAAACTATAAAAAGGTCACACTCTCTTATGTGATGTGTACTTTCACATATTTTCCTTAGTAACTTACTAAGGTTTTCTTTGTAGGAACATGCTTACCCAGCAGATGAACTCATGCCTTTAACCTGTAGAGGTCGTGTGAGGGGCCAGGAGCCAAGTCGGGGTGACGTGGATGATGCCTTGGGAAAGTGAGTATAAGCATGGTGTGGCATTTCAGAGTACCAACTGCTAGACTGCTTAGCGGCAATTTACAGCCATATTCCCGGGCGCTGGCTAAATTTTAAAGACTGCTCTAAGTATTGCATTAAACTTCTTTATTCCTTTTTATTGTGTTTTGCAGAAATCAATCAGCTTACCCATTCAGAGAAAAAGTTAGTTTGCTAATCCGGAGCAATTTTAAAAATATGTGTAAATTTAAAAATGTATGTAAAGTGATTAACACATAATGAAGTTTTACTGCTTTAATAATATTTTTAAAAGAGCTAACGAATATTGTTATGCATCTTTGAAGATGTGGCATGTAAGGCTTTTCAGATTTCTTCAGTGATTTTTAGGTTACAGTGTCCTTTAGGTACATGTAACTGCTAGTTAATAGAAAGTACCAGTCAGTCAGATGTAATAAGTCAGCTTAAACGTTCATGGATAAAATACTTAGAATTTTAAATTTTGTGTCTCGTTATACTTTTTTCTTAGATTTTCCCTGACACTGATTGATTCTTTGGATACTCTTGTGGTAGGTTTGATTTTTCTTGGATTTACTTATTTTATAAATATCACAATATGCACACTCAAGTGTTATAAATTTAATCAACACAATAAGTATGAAATGGAAGACTTAAGAATTTAAAATGTTTAGATCTGCTTCTAAATAAATCTTTCACATGGTTCAGGTGACGATTCCAAGTGATTATCAAGTGGAATTTTGTCCATTAATGGAGATACCCAAATAATTTATGGTGAGATAAGCTGCAGTAATGATATCTTGTTGAGGAAGGTCCTTCCTCCCACCTTTATAAAAGAATGGTTGAATCAGAAGAAAGTAATTTTGGAAAATGCCATTAATATTCTTGTGCCATAGTGATATGCTGCAAAAATACTGAAATTATTAAACTATAATCTTTCTATTGATAAGTGAAAATATATTTTTCCCAGCAGTGATTTTTAGCACCAATGGATCACCTCTTGCTTTTTTTTCAATCTCATGATGCAGAAATTAATTTTGAGTAATTCGGTTTCAGAACTCTTCATGATGCCATAGCATATAGGTCGAGTTCCAGATGTCATGATTTCTAAATATAGTGTGTCTTTTTAGCATTTTACTTTTAGATATTTAGAATATGAAAGTAGGCTTGTTTAAAGATTTTCCTTAAAGCGTAAGTCTAAACTTTAAATTAATGTCCTGTGTACTGGTTAATATTTAAGGAAAAAAATCTGGGTTAGCAGAAAATGTTTAGAATTAAGTTTTACTTCCTCACACTGTTTCTGTATTCTTTTTCACTGTGCCAATTTTAGAACAAAGATACTCAAATCTAATCGCTGTTTAGGAAGCTCACCTGTAATGTTGAAAAAAAATCCATGCTCAAATTATTTAGTTTAACTGTTCTGAGTGAGGCTCAGTATTATTCTTTACTCTTCTAAAGTTTCTCTTTAGTTTAAAATGAAGCAATGATTGAGAACAGTTATTAAGACTTTTTTTTTGAGATAGGGTCTTGCTATGTAGTTCACCTTGTCTTTAAACTCACTATGTACCCCAGGCTGGCTTCAAACACCTGGCAATCCACCTGCCTCAGCCTTCCAAGTGATGAGATTACAGGTGTGAGCCACCACACCTGGCTGTTTATACCTTTTTAGTTGGCTCAGAGTTTTGAAAGTCATGGCTTCATTTTTCAGAGAGTAATGGAATGTGTAAGCTACATTGTAATAACTACGAAAAAATACTGTTCCTTTTGTTGTTTATTTTGTTTTGTTGTTGTGTTTTTTTTTTTTTAAGATAGGGTCTTGCTAGGCTGACCTTAAACTGTCTATGTAGCCTGGGCAGGCCTCAAGCTCACTGGGATCCTCCTAGCTCAGCCTCCCCAGTGCTAGGTTACCGGAGTGCACTAACATGCCCAGCTTGTATGTTTTACTTTTGGTTTAGTGGTTCTAAGTTTTCTGTAGATAATAGGGAAAGAGAAAAAGACAAAATATTCTGAAGGCACAAATGATTACCTGGGAGAAACTGAGTGGTGTTATTTATAGTTAATGGTTGCTGAGTAATTCACATCAGGTCTGCTTTGGTCAAAGGGAATAGATGAGCAGAAACAGTGCTTGGATAGATCATAGGGGCACTTATCCCTCTTTCCCATTCTAGCATATAAGCTGTATTTTTCCACATCATGGGTTCCCCATCATTCCTCAATAAACTTCTAATTGACGTTCATAAGCTTGGACCTCAGATATCAGTGTGTTCTGTAAGATGTCATGGAGGTCAAAAAGGTGGTTCCAGGCTGCATAAATTTCCAGCATTTAGAAATCTGTGGTCCTTTCTAATTGGGCAGCTATTATTTTAAAGATTATATCCTTCAGGCTATTCCTGTTAAATACTTTGGCATTGGTTCTAAAGGATTCTGGATCAATAGCATTAATATTAGCAAGGATCTGTTGAGAAATACAGATTACTCAGCTTTATTCGAGACATACCAAATCAAAAACTGGGAAAAGGGCCTCGCAGCCTCTTTGCAAACAAGCTTGTAGGTGACTCTGATATATGTTAATTTTTTTGAAGTACTACACAATGATGCAGTTCTTTTTAGACACATACTTTTTATTGTTTTTAAATCAGTTATCTTAAAAGCTGATGTGATGGGGTTCCTGGAGTTGGCTCTGTAATTTGATGAGACCTAAGGACACCATGGTCTCTCCTTCCACTTCTGTGGGGTATACAGATAATCCTTGGTGTGAATTGTTTGACCTAATACGCCATGTATATCCATTTGACTATCGTAATTCACCACTTGTGAGATGTCAGGAATTTAGCGACTCTGTGCATGAAAATTTTGAATTTCTTTGGCACAGTAGGAAATATAATGATGCTGGCTGGTTGCTTTTAGCAGCCCTGGACAAACTACTGAAGGAAAACAATGAGCTCAAAACATCCCTAGAAAGTTTAAAGTCTTCTGGCTGTGAGGACAAATTAAGAAAGGAAAATAAGGAGCTCAAAGATACAAATTCCATTCTCCAGACACAGATAAGAAATTTAAAAGTTTCTAAGTGTGTCCTGAAGGAAAATCTCCTTTCTTTTAATCGAAAAGCTGAGATTGCAGAAACTCAAACACAGTTCCTCATAATTTGATTGGTTGAACTACAACGTAAGTTTAATGCTCAGCCTCGAAGGGTATCTGAAGCAAAAGTGAGGGCATTGATTGGAAAGGAATGGGATCCCATAAACTGGGATGGAGACATGTGGGAGGATCCTGAGGAAGCTGAGAATGCTGAGTTCCTTGATGCTGATAAGATTATTTTGCCAGAGGAAGAGATCTCCCCACCCACTCTGGCAGAGGCATTGCCACCTCCACCCCCTGAGCTGTTGGCATCTCCTAGTATGCTGGGGAGACTAATCCTGTGCTGATGACACAAAATGATGCTGACACTCCTCAGGACCCACCCTCACCACCCATTTTTGCCTCTAGGCCCATAACCAGGCTCAAGTCACACAAGGCTCCTAAGGGTGAGGTACATACTGTAACCCATGGGGAGGTCTGCTATTCTCCCAAAGAACTCCTTGAGTTTTCTAACTCTTACACGCAGAGGCCTAATGAGCCAGTGTGGGAATGGATTTTATGAGTGTGGGATAATGGTAGAAAAACTATACACCTGGATCAGGCTGAATTTGTTGATATGGGCCCATTAAGCAGAGATTCTGAATTTAATATTGCAGCTCATGGAGTAAAGAAAGGTGTTAATAGTTTATTTGGCTGGTTAGCAGAAGTGTGGATCAAGAGATGGCCCACTGTGAATGAGTCAGAGATGCCTGATGTTCCGTGGTTTACTATTGATGAAGGGATTCAGAGGCTTAGGGAAATGGGAATGCTGGAATGGATCTGTCAAGTTAAACCTAATCCTCCATATTGGGATGATCCAGAAAATATACCCTTCACTAACACCCTGAGAAACAGATTTGTAAGGAGAGCACCAGCATCCCTGAAGAGCCCTGTCATTGCTCTTCTCTGTATGCCAGACCTTACAGTGGGTGCCGCGGTTACTCAGTTAGAACATTTAAGGGCAACGGGCTTGATTGGATCCCAGAGTGGCAGAGGTCAGGTGGCAACACTCAGTTGCCAAAGGCAGGGTCCCCGTACTTACTGTAATAGCAGATGCAGGGCACTGACCAGAATAATCTGACACGTGCAGAACTGTGGTGTTGGCTGATTAGCCATGGTGTTCTCAAAAGTGAAATAGATAGGAAGCCTACAAAATTTTTTCTAGATTTTGGTGGTACCGAAATGTAGGTACCAGGTGGTGCCAGGTGGTACCTGGTAGGAGTGGCTCTCGAGAAACAGAATTCTAAGGATGTCATTCTTTAATGGCTTTTGGGTTTTGGAGGCAACACACTCCTCACTTAGGTGTCTTACTCCATCCCATTTACTGAGTGGCTCAGAAAGCTGCTAGTTTTGAGTGGTACCGTCCCTACTTCCACCCCTTGAATGTTTTTTGGTTTTTAAAATATGGGACAGAATTTATTGAAGGGCTATTGGCTCTTCAGGAGTCTGCATGACCAAACTTGTGCTCAGCTCAGGAGTACATGGTTGCTGTCCCCTGCAGTGAGCTTCTACTGAGATCTGCCCCATCTTTCCCAGTGTCACAGCACTCTAGGCTCTCCTGAGTCCACTGCTGTGATAGCTACAGCCTCTAATGACCTATCCAGGGTTCTTCCTTATTTGTGTCACCAGCTTCCCATTCAGAGTTAGGGATGGGGCCCAACTCTTATTTGTGGAGCCTACATCTTCTTCAAGTATGGTGCGTGGGACGGGTCATCAGCTTCCCTGAGAGCTTGTTAACATACTAAAAATGAGGCGTCAATCCAAGGATTAGGAGAGAATCTGATGAAGGACTTTTAAAACTTCAGTATAACTAAGTCACCTAGGAAACCTGCGAAAATGTAGATTCTAAAACAGTAGATCCTAAGAGTCTATATTACTGCTAAGATGCCTGCTGGTGCCAGCAGACCACACTGTAAGTAACGAGTCTGGCAATTTGTATTACTCCTTAGAGCAGGAAGGAGCAAGAGTTGATAATATGATATTGATATGCGTGACTTAGACCAAATTATTCAACTTCTCTGGGCCGTGTTTTCACTTCCAAAGGGCCTGAGATAGACAGTTGTCCCTGTTAAGTGTATTCTTTCCTACTGATCTCTGGTCTAGAATCAGATAAGTAATATCTGTTTATTGAAACTATCTTTAAGGAACCAAGAATAAAGATCAGTAAACTATTACAAATATTTTAAAATACTTTATAAAATTTAAGTTTCAATCTTATTAAGTGGGAATAAACAAGGCAACTCATATATCATTATAGCCTTGAATTGTACAAATTTATTTTGATTTTTTCATCATTGTAAACATTTTCTTTGAATTTAAACAGAAGAATTGGAGCAAAATTAAAGTACTTTGAAAGTTTTTTTGATATTGGGAAGGAGTACTATTCTTTACATTTGTCAGTACAAGTATTAATATTTCTAATGAACTTTGTGATTTTTTCATTTAGTGATTTAGCAATTAGAAAATAGTAATAAGACATCACTTGTAGCAGAAGACATAATCTTACCATTTTTATTTTGGTCACACCATAATATAGTAAGTAGAATTTCTATTCTCATAGTTTGATTTTCAAACTTAAACAGTTCCAAAAATCATCCATCTAGTTTCTATTGATTGTTATGGAGTCATGCACTGTGTACCCTTGAATTCAACATTATCATAAAATCTAGGGGAAAAATTTAAAAAAAATTAGATATAATGGGAGAAAAGATGAGACCAGGATTTATCCTTTTTCAGCTAGAAGTCTAAGCTGAAATTAAACTCATTAAATAATAGAGCAATTAGAATGAATTTTCTAGCTAATGTTGTACAAAGATAAGTGGCCACTTCTGTTCTTTTTAGGAATAAATGATATTGGTACTATTCTTGGTAGTTATGATTTTGGAAAAAAGGCTTTTTTTTTCCTAGTTCAAGAAGCAGCACAGACGATAAAGAATGTATGTGGAAGGAAGTTTGAATATAAGTTCAAGGGAGAAAAATTCTCAAGAGACAGATTAGGGAGAAAAGTAAAGTTAACAAAATGATATTAAAACGCACCAGTTTGTAGGGTAGAGAGAGTAGAAAATGTACACAGAAGTAGTGTGAGGACCATATGTGTCTGCATTTGTTGCTGCAGAATTTGCATGGATTTTGAGATTGAGAAGAAAAAGCAGTGAATTTAAAATGAGGGCCTCCCTAACTTTTAATTTTTCTTGAATTTTCTGTGTATATTCTTACGGAATGTTTTATAACTGTATCAGAAATCTTAGTGAAAATAGCAGATCAAGTAAAAAAAGTACTACAAATTATTATGAGACAAAAAGTCAAGTAAATTTAATGTATCTAGTCTATTACATAACATCTAATTTAGACTGAAAAATCAAATGAGCCTATGAAATGATAGTGACCTATTTGTGGAGTTCATTTTAAGACTGCAGTTTTTAGTGTAGTCAGGATTCTAGACCTGCATGATATTAAACACTTGATATTAAGCACTTATTAAGTCACTCTGCTAAATGTATTTTATGTGTGTTATCTCATTTAAGAAAACAATCTTATGAGAGCAGGTTTTTTTTTTAATGAAGGAATAGGCTCAGAGATCGAAGTAACTTGTTTTGGATTGCTTGGATCACACATAGTGAAAGGACCAGAGTTCAAACCAGGATTTACTTTTTTTTTTTTTTTTTGGAAGTGCTCGGGATCAAGCATAGCTTCTCATACACGCTGTTCTCTTACCTGTAGTAACACTGAATCACAGCTTCTTTAGAGAATGGGACATTCACAGGGTAAAGATACAACTGTCTGGTTTAGGATCAGTCAGTTAAAGAAAGAGCTTTCTTCTGAGACTAAGCAATTCTAATACAGTGCTTGATGAACAGGATGATTGTTTTGTTTTGGCTTGTAAATCAAATCCCACGAGAGCTCACTTCAAGTAGCTTCATATTTTGTGTTTTTGTTTGTTTTATCTTTTCTATAATGCTTAGGTCTAGAAGCCCCAAGATTGCAAAGATTTTTTGTATTTTGAAATATTGTCATATTAACGTAGACTAGAGGTTGAGCATCCTTAATACAAAAATCTGAAATCCGGAATGCTCAAAATCTGAAACATTTTCAGTGATATCTGCATGACTGTCAAAACACCCAAAATTTCATATCTTGGGGCAAATTTTGGGGCATTCGGATTTCAGAACATTTCAGAGCATTTTAGCTTTTAGAACTGATTGGGTTTTGGATTTTTGACTTAGAGAAGCTTAACTATATATCAGTTCTTTTTTAAAAATTTTATTTTATTAGTACATGTGGGCAGCATATGATATTTACATTCCTTGTGGGGAGTTGGTACATGTACATAACACACCTTCGTTCCATTCCTTTTTTCATCTTCTTTCCTTCCCTTCCCTCCTCCCTCCTTGCATCTCTTGAGCTTCTTCCCCTTTGAGAAAGAGCTACCTCCCTACTTCCTATCATCTATTTGTTATTTTGCTCTTTATTTTTACTTAGCATTTCTCATAGAAGAGAAACCATGTGTATCAGTTCTTTTGATGATAGTTTTAAAGTGCTGAAGACATTTTATTGTATCTAAACAACAGAAATGTGTAAGGGGCTAACTAAAGTGTAAAAAGATGCACTTTTTTCGGTTTTAGATACTATCAGATTTTTTATGTTTAAAGAATACATTATTTTTGTATGGGTTACTTTTTTGAGTCTTGAAATATAACTCGGTTTTAGTAGCTCATTCTGATGATGTTTCTCCTTGACTTGGTAGAAAAGAACTTTATTTTATAATTTTCTTCTCCTAGGTATTAAATAAAACTAAAGAATTTGAAGATGCGGTGAGAAAAGTTTTAAGAGATGTTAATTTAGATAATGATGTAGTTGTATCTGTCTTTGAAACAAACATCAGAGTTCTTGGGTAAGTATGTAAGTAAAACACTCTAGCTATCATTTTAATAACAAAAGCTTAGGGTTTACTGTTTAGTTCTCAAAGGCATTAAGTTTCTTACGTTTGAAAGATAAAATTGGGGTATTATGAAGCTGTGACTCTTTGTGCTATTAGTCACAAATAGCAATGGGGCATCGGAAATACAGGTGTCTTTATAAGTTGTGATTAAAATACGGTGAATGGTGCTACCACATGCCATCCGCTGGAAAAGAGGGAGGCTGGTAAGAACATGATGGTGTGTTCTTATCCACCTTATTCACTTTATCTGGCACTGTGTGATCTCTGACTCTCCCCCAAAGTCAAAATGACCGTGAAAAGTAAACCTTTTGTATTGATTCAGGATATCAAGGCAGCCATCACAGTGCAACTAAAGACACTCACAAAAGAACTTCCAGAACTAATTGAGAAAATGGCAAGGACGATGGGATAAATGTGTTTGAAGCAAGAGGGGAGTATTTTGTGCGGGATTAATAGCAATGCATCTTTTACTAGAATACATTTTTTTTTTAGTTTAAGCATTCACTGTATTTTTAGATCACATCTTGCAGTTGTAGGCACAAAGCAGGGTAATGCCTGTGTAAGGCTGAACATTTGTTATATTAGCTCATCACAGTTTTTTCATGAACTTAGCATAGTTCGCTGACTTTCAGCAAGGTACTTCTGCAGAGAAGCCAAATGAGACTGAATTTACAGGGTTGCCTCTCAACTAAACAATTTGAAATACTATTGAGATGCTTCAAAATGTGAAACTATAAGCTGTATTGCCTCATTTCAGTATTGGTAAATTTTTACATTAATGATTACTTTTGTGATATTGCAGCTCACTTCTTTTTGTCACAGTAAGTCTTCAGTTAAACACAAAAAGTTATTTAGCTTTTCAGAGTTATTGTTTAACAGAGTAAGACTTTTTTGTTGTACTAAGACAGTTAAAGATTTCATGGTGATATAGTTACATTTTTAAATTTAAGATTTGTTAAAATTTATGTATCACATTTGTTAAAATAAATGCCATGCCTATGATACTCTTTGTTTTAAGCAAATTTAAGGTACTTAAGAATGCCAGATACTTTATAAGATAGAGCATCTGATTTATGAAGTATGTTAGCTGTCTGATTGTGGTAGTTTGCCATAAATGCATATCCAGCAAAGAATTAAGTTCTTCGATAGTCTTCTCTTATGTATGCTAAGTTGTTGATAGCAAAATACACCTTTCTAGGTAGTAACTTTTAAACCACTGAAGACAGGGATAATGTGTTGTCTCTGTGATTATAGAGGTCTTTTGGGTGGACACTCGCTGGCAATTATGCTGAAAGAAAAAGGTGAATACATGCAGTGGTACAATGATGAACTGCTCCTAATGGCAAAGCAGTTGGGTTACAAACTTCTGCCAGCTTTCAACACTACCAGTGGGCTTCCTTATCCAAGAGTAAGTAATTCTGAAAAAGTATGATAGTCTTTACATACTTCCTTTGCTGTTTTACAAAATGAATTTTTGTGATCAGAACCATTGTTCCTTACCACATTGAGGCTGGAAAACAAATGTTTCAAAGCTGTATAACAAATTTATATTGATGTTTCCATTAACTTATATTTGAATGATGTGAAAATTAGACTAGTTTAAGTTTTACTATGTCTCTCCATAAGAGATTATGCTGCAAAAAGAAGAAACAGATGCTGGACTGGAACTTTGACCAGAATTGTTTGTGCTGAAATTATAGTTGAAGCAGTGAGCGCAGAGGGGCGTTACTCTCTGAAGGAGGGGAGATGGAGAACACAGGACAGACCAGGGCAGGAGGAGGTAGAGCTGTTGTGGAGCGGAGTGTGTTCAATGTAGTGGGTGGTGATAAAACATCCAGAAAAAGGCACTTCAAAGGAAGGAGATAGCCTCTTAAACTTGAAGATATTTGGGTGCATACAGAGCCTTGAATGATGTAATGTGGTAGATTAGGGAGGGGGGAAAGATTCAAAGTAAGTAGGTATGGACCACTTACAGCTGTGGGATTTTTGTTTGTTTGTTTGAGACAGGGTCTCACTGTGTAGTTCAGAGTGGCCTTGAACTTACTATGTAGCTCAGGCTGGCCTCAAACTCACAGCAGTCCTGCTTCCACCTCCCAAATCCTGGGATTACAGGTGCGTGCCGCCATGTCTGGCGTTGCTGTGGGATTTTTTTTGGTGTTCGCAGTTAAAGGAGAGTTGGCAGTGGAGTCAGTTGAGGGAATATTTTTCATTTTTCCACCAAGACAAGTTTATATGTAAAGCAGAGGGAAAGAAGCCGTTGCAGATAAAAAAGAGTTCTTCTGGTTTATTTCATTGTTTATTAACACTATTCATTGTTAATTTCCTACCACTTTGTGTGTAACTCCGTATTGTCTGTACTGTTCTTTTGCTATTTTGTAAAATGTTGTCTGTCTGTTAATGTTTTCCTCCTTTTATTTTTAAAATTAAAAAAAAAACTATTACTCTTTCTCTTTTATCTAAGATAGATACCTTAGCTATTACTAAACTTTATCATTTTTTTCTTTTCTTATTGTTTCTATATTGAAGTCAATACAATTTTGTATTATATTTATTCCTAAACTATTATTATTATTATTATTATTATTATTTTGGTTTTGGTTTTTCTCCAGTACTATTCCTAAACTATTATAAGTGCTTATCTAATTCTTTTCTCTCTGGTTTATGAGTCAGGACACTTGGAAAATTAATATCACTAAAACAACTTTTGTTGAATTACCTTTAAAAATTTTTATTGATTATTGTATTTTTGCTTTAGCATTCAGAATTCTTTGTAGTTTGGCAGTAGACATTTTTTCCCCCACACTCCATACTCCAGTGAAGTCAGTTTTCTGTCTTAGCCAAAACATTCTATAGTCCTCCCGAAAACCCTTAGAGTTTCTTTCACATTCCTTGCTTTTAGGCTCTATTTCTTGGCATAGCCTTTCTACCAATATAAATCAAATAAGGCTCATTTCCTTCAACAAGAAGTCACCTTGACTAGGTAGACAACACAGCATGATAGAAGGTGGTGCTGTGCGAAGTGAAGGTCACATTGCATTCGTTTACCCGTCAGTTTAGTTGGTTATTACCAGCACTTTTTCTTCAATGGAATGGATTAGATTTAAATGTCTGATTATTTAAACTTATAGTTTTTGGTATTTTAAATATCTTGTGAACGTTCTTCTATACATCTTTTTATATATTTCTTCTTTGGGATGGATTACTATGAGAGGAAATCAGAGAGTAGGGGACTTTTAAGACTTTAGGTAATTACTGTCCAGTTGTTCTCCAGAAAGATTCTTTTATACCTCCCCATGTACAGAAGTGTATGTGTGATCATACTGTTGCCAACACTGTATATTTTCATTCTTTTGTCAACTTAATGAGCAAAAAATGAAATTATTTTAATGTGAATTTTTTGTTAGTAAAATTAGATTTAATTCTTTTTCTTGTAGCTTATTAAAATTAGAAGCAGTTATTTTAAGCAATATACAGACATTACTTAGTTTATTTTTAGTAAATATTTTTAGTTTTTGTTATAAACAGAGGTGCTAGATTTTGAGGAATCAATTATATCTTTACTTTTACAATTACATGAAAAGCAGATATGGAATTGATATAGAAGTAACTATGAATATTATATTATAATAAACTTTAAAAATGTTTTCAAACACAACTACATAAGAAAATAATTCCTCCCCTTCCTTCCTTGTATACACTTAGTGACTGCTTTTGCTTATGAAAATTTGCACAGTCTCTCTTAGATAGTATAAGTTTATATAATTTGCATTAATTCGCATAAATTGAATTTGCTGGACAAAAATGGTGGTATAAGAGTTAATAGTTGTTTTGAAACTTATATATAAAGTGTGTCTATATTTTGTAATATCATTTCTTTAAAGTTATTAAAAGCAACTTGCCACCTTTTCAAATAAATCATATTGCTAAGATTGAGTAAATGATATAACATACAGAGTTATTAGGAATTCTATTTATATACACATTATATACATAAGTATATAAGAATTTTCAGGATAACTAATAGATAATATAGTCAATTTATACTTTACTAAATTTATACCTTATAATTTATACTTTACTAAAAGGTAAAAACCTTTTAGTAAACACTTCTTAGTAAAAAAAAGTGTGCTTTTTTTGGTGAAAGGATGGAAAACAATATTCCATGTAAATGGAGTCCAAAAGCAAACGTAAGTATCTATACTCATATCTCACAAAGCAGACCTGTGCACAGAATTAGTCAGAAGAGGCAAAAGCCACTACATAGTGGTAAAGAGAACAACGCTCCAAGAAGGTTTAACAATTGTTAACTTATATGCATGGAATGTTAGAACAGTACAGAAGATTGATGAAACCATTGATTCTTTGAAAAGATAAGCAAGGCTGATAAATCCTTAGCCAAATTAACCAAAAGAGAGATAATCAAATCAATAAAATTAGAGTTGAAAAAGGAAACAGTACAACAGATACCACTGAAATCCAGAGGATTATTAGGGACTATTTTAAAGACTGATACTCCAATAAATTGGAGAATCAAGAAGAAATGGATAAATTTCTAGACACATATGAACCAACAAGATATAAAAATCCTCATCAGATGAGTAAGAAGCTGTGAGATTGAAACAGTAATAAAAAGACTCCTAGCAAATAACAGGACTAAATGGGCTTACTATTGAATGAATAAAAAGGGAAGGAATGCTTTCCAGATTCACTTTGTGAGTCCAGTGTCACCCTGATACCAAAACCAGATACGGACATAACAAAAAAAGAATATTATGGACCAATATCTTTGATGAACATAAATGCAAAAATCCATGCAAAATACTTGCGAACTGAATTCAGCAATACTTTAAAGAGATCATACATGTGCTCAAGTTGGTTTCATTCTGGTATGGTTCAACATATACAAAGCAGCAAACATATGCACCACATAAATAGAATAAATGTAAATATGACGTGATCATTTCAGTTGATAGAGAAAGCCTTTGACAAAATTCAGCATCTATTCATGATAAAAGTCCTAAAGAAACTAGGTACAGAAGCATTATACCTCAACATAATAAAGACTGTGTATGATAAATCTGTAGCTAAAATCATACTGAATGGGAAAAAACAAAAACATTTCCTCTAAAATCAGGAATGAAGGTAGGGCATGGTGGCACATACCTGTAATCCCAGCACTCAGGAGGCAGAGGCACGAAGATCGTTGGCAGTTTGAGACCATCCTGAGCTACAAAGTGAGCTCAAGGCCAGCCTGAACTGCATAGAGAGATCCTGTCTCAAAAAGACCAAAAAAAAGAAAATCAGGAATAAGACAAGAGTATCCACTTTTACAACTCCTATTCAATACAGTACTGTACTTGAAATTTTAGAGCAATTAGGCAAGAGAAAGAAATAAAAGGATGAGCATAGGAAGAAGTTATCTTTGGGTTTGCATTTAAAAGGGTGCAAGATTTAAATGATCCGATGTAGATAGTTGTTATGGGAAATATCCTTTTCCATGACTTTGTAGCAATCATTTTGAGATAGGAAGGGCTGTAATTCAGTGTATGAACATATACAAAAAGTGTCAACGTGTGAAATGTTTTTCATGTACTGACTTTGATTTAAAGTATTTTTTTCTTATGGGAAAAGACACTAAAAGTGGAATATACATGTTTATTATTTTTTTTGTTTTGAAACTGCCTTCTCATGATGAGTCCCTACATTTTACCATGCATAGCTCACTACTACTCCCAATCTAGTGATATTTCTTCTTCTGAATTTTAATGTTTTGATTAATCTTTTTGTTTGACACCTACTTATGACATTTAATTACTAGCTGTCTTCTCTCTATATATATCTCTCTTATTTACTCTGTCTGTATTTTAAGGTCTTTTAAGGCAAGGATATATTTGTATCTTACCATAGTATCTATGACACAGTAAGTAAGTAACAAATATTGATCAACTGATTGCAGTAATTAATAGAACTAACTAGACAGTATTTCTCATTTGTGATTCTTACTCCAAATATGTATAAAATTTTTATACTTTAGTGTAATACTAAATTTTTATTTGATTATTGAGGATTACTTCATTTTAAGTTCATTATTCATAATACAAGTTTTCAATTTTACATCTATAGCTAGGGATATAGACAGCTTAAGGTAGTAGGGCATACTTTCCATTTCTGTTCATCATGAAGAACTACCTAAAACTAGTTAATCTTCCTGAAATGCAAATGGTAAAGATAATTGCGAGTTTGGGTGGAGATGGAGGTATTGCCAGGCTAAGAAGCGTGTGGAAATACCTTAAGTGACACTCTGGAAGAAAGATAAATGGCAGTGCTGAAGACAGCATATGGTGGTCAACTCCCATGTCTCACCTGCATTTCACTTTTGTTTTGTTTTGTTCTTGAGAGGATGTTTGTTTTAGAAATGCCTAGAATGTGTTGACTGGAGACTGTTTAGGTAAGAAGCATACTGAGTAATGGGTTTTTGTATATCAACTGAAGTATTAATTTATTTGAGCTTTTCGTAAGAGTCTGAACAACTGACGTGAAAACATATTTATGCTGTTTCACATTTGATTTTTTTTTTTTTTTTTGGTTTTTATTATACTAAATCCTTGACATATATCTCCTTTTGGGGATTTATTTGATGCTGAAAACGTTCTAGTTTTAATAAATTTCTGATCGAGTTGGTTCTAGATAGTCCAGATTAATACCGGTAGTATTCTTTGATTGTCTTCAAGTTACGAAAGAAGTATTCCTTGGTAAAAAGTGTCCTTGTTTGCTAGCATGCTAGCAAGACAGTATAATCATATTTGCAACTTCTAAAACCTTTAGCAAAAAAAATTAAACTCTTCAAATGCATACCATTGTAATCAGTTTTTTCTCTGTAAAGAACAGTTAAACCTAATTTCTTTTAAAGCTTATTTACTCTTCTGTTGTTGAACTAACTAGTTCAAACTGTCCAGAGGAAAAAATTGTTATGGAAGGTGTTTTTCTATGTAATTGTTATGATGGTGTTGCATTTTGATGTAATTGAGGAACAAACTAAATAAAAACTTATTTACCTTGTTAATTTTATGTGTTTACAATATATTTCCGTAGATATTAATTGGAAAGTCACGAAGATCATTGGATTGAGCTTGAATGTCAATAATTTCATGAATTATTTTCATGATTTGATAAAAAGTCTTGATAAATAATTTTTTTAGAGAAATATGTTCTCTTGATAGTTGCTGATGATTATCTTTTGGTTGTGTTTAGATTAATTTAAAGTTCGGCATCAGAAAACCGGAGGCTCGGACAGGAACTGAGACAGATACCTGTACAGCCTGTGCAGGTACCTTGATCCTTGAGTTTGCTGCTTTAAGTCGGTTCACTGGAGCAACAATTTTTGAGGTTTGCTTTTCATGGCCTTTGATCTTCTGGGTAGTGGGCATAGCTAACTTTATATTTCTTTTCCATTGGTTAGGCATTAGGATTATCAGTTAGAGGATTACTGGTTTTTAGTGAACTTTTAATCTAAATTCCATGATGTAGTTTTGGATTGTCAGAAGCATAAAAGTCATTTTGAGCTAGCCATGTTAATACAGCTTTGCGTTTGTTCACAAACTATGAAGTAAAATGTTGGTTTAATTCTTAGATTGTTTACGTATAGCATTGAGATTTGGTAGCTCCTTGATATCATCAATGTCTAATACGAAATACATCTCTTACTTATTAGACTTCCAAATGTGTGAGTGTACTTCTGACACCTTCGCTAGCCTAAAACAGTGAGATTTTTGAATTCAAGTCTTGATTAAAAGTCTAAGCTGTAAATTAGTTTACTCAAGTTGAAATGTCATTCATTTTCCGAAAACCTTAATATGCCCCGCATAGTTTTTATGGTCTAGCTATTTCTTACAATTAGGAAAAGAAATCTATTTAAGCATGTCATTAGAGTGCAGTGATTATGTAAATACCCTCTTTCAAATATATGACTTGGGTGAATTTTTAAAATTTTAATAAACGATACACATGGACAGAATAGAAATAGGGAATACGTATCAAGCATTTCAAACGTTGGATCTGAATATAAATAATAGTAGAATGATCTTTGTGTTTTTTTAATATGTATTTACAAATGTTTGGGGGACAGATTTGTGCTTGATTAGTTTATCTTTTAAACAAAAACTTTTGTTCTATACCTAGGTGACAAATGTTACCTTTCATTAAAAAGTATGGATATTTTGCATGCTTTTAAGTGTGAGCTCTAAATTTTCTAAGATAATGATGTATTTACAAGTGAAGAAAATCAGACTCCAAGAAGATAAGAGGGCTGGGGCACAGTGGTACACACTTACAATCCCAGCTATTTGGGAGGCTGAGGCAGGAGGATCACAAATTTAAGGCCAACCTGGGCATTATAGCAAGACCCTCTCAAAATAAAAATAGGATTGGGGCTGGCTGTGGTGCCTCCAGCACTTTGAAGACTGAGGCAGAAGGGTTGGGCTAGCCTGGGCTACATCATGAGTTCAAGGCCTGCCTGAAGTACAAAGTGAAACCTTATCTCTAAAAACAAAACAAAAACAAATGAATGGTGGGGTGGTTGGGGATGTTGCTCTGTAGTAGGACAGTTGATGGCATAACATAGCCCTGGGTTTCATCCTGTTACTGAAAAACACAAAGAAGAATCCATGTCTTTCTGAATTCAAAACTCACGATCCTTCCACTAGCTATCTTGTGATTACACATAAATTTGTTAAAAATCATTATTTTTAAACTTTCTGAATTTGCAGTAATTTATTTTCAAAAAAGCAAACTGATGTCACTGATAGAGTATTGATCTAATAGAAGGTTGGAAAACTACTGTCTGTGGGTCAAATTCAGCCACTCCCTATTTTTGTCCAAAAAAAATTTTATTGGAACATGGCTATGCTGAGTTACTTAGTTTTCCTCAATGGTTACCTTGTTACAGGGACAGAGTTGAGAAGTTGTGACCAATGACAATATGACTGTGATCCTTAAAATATTTACTATCTGGCTTTTTAAAGAAAGTTTGCTGACACTTGTTCTAATATATAAAGAGATCTGATTGCTTGTACTACCCATTCCATACCAGGAATCGAACTCAACGACCTTCTGCTTGCCAGGCAGCCACTGACCTAAATGCCCAGCCCCCTGTACTACTTGTCTTATAATTCAGTTTTAAGTTTTACTTAAATCTTTAATTTCACTAGGCACAGTTTTTAACTATAAAAATACAGGAAAGTATAGTCTATACCAAGCTTTCTGGCTCTGACATTCTATCATGAAGTTAAAATTGAAATCTACTTTATTTAAAAAGATAAGCATAATTAGGTTGGGTGAAGAATTAAAACTTTTATACTCTGTTTTTAAATCTACAAAGTAACAAATTAGTTTTTTGTTCTGTAGTATTACTTCTGAAATACTAAATATTCATGTTCTGAATTTAATTTAGAACCTTACCTACACATTCCCTTTGCTTTTACATTTTTTAACATTTTAATCTAAAACCAGGAATTTGATTAAAATCACTTTAAATTAGTGTCCAATTAGGTAAAAATAAATGAAGAAAAATTGCCATAAGATTTTAAGTTTGTTACTACTAAGTATTCATTTGTTATTACTAAATATTCAATGTTACCGGTTGATTTACTGTCTTCCCACTAACAAAGTTACATATCACCAAAAAGGGACCTTTAAACTATGTCAAAGATAGTATACCAACTTGGAAATTCTTTCAGTTTTCTAAATAAGTAAGGAGAGTTTCACTTTGCATTTAAGTTATAGAAATTACTTTAACAAATGTATCTAATTATGACCAGTGACCAATATAATTTAATAATACATATGTATGAATATGTACCTGAACCTCAGGAATAGATGGACATGGATGATCGCAGAGTGAGACCACTGCCACTTAAATAGCATTTTTCTAGTCCTTTTTAATTAGACTGGCTGAAAAGAACCAAGATATAACCTTAAGGAAATTTATATTACAAATAGTTATTTTAGGAATTTTAGTTAATTCTTATACTATCCTGTAGACCTTTGTTTTCTTGTCAGTGACATACCACGTCCTTAAGTATGCTTTTCTTTTTAATTGTAGGAATATGCAAGAAAAGCGCTTGATTTTCTCTGGGAAAAAAGACAACGAAGTAGTAATTTAGTGGGCGTGACTATCAATATTCATACTGGAGATTGGGTACGGAAAGGTATGTAAGTTGGGCTTTTAAAACCAAACTTTCACATCCTCAGAATGGTCAAGAAATATAGGATTGGTATTTGTAAAAATAATCTTTGGGAGAGTATACTATTTGATACCTTAATGGTTATAGCATTGTTGGTACAGGGTATAGATGAAACACTAGGATTAATTTCTTTTTCAAGAGTACCCAGATATTACACATTAAGATGTGTTTTAGTGGATATGCTTAATGATATTATTACCAATTTTTATGCCAGCCCTTCCAGAAATAGATTATTTTATTAGTAGTTAACAGCATAGATTCTGGAGCCACATTTTTGGAATTCAAGCCATGTGAGCTTGGGCAAGTTATTTAACTTCTGCTGCCTTTCTATCCATATCTGTATAATGGGAAAATTAATAGTACTTCATAGAACTATTACAAGGATTAAATGAGTTAATGTAAAACACAGAACACTGGGTGGCATATCTTATTCTTACTGTAAAGTAAAGTGCTCACTGGGATGGTAGTCCCTTCGATTCATAATGTTACTTCTGGGAATCTAGCCTAAGAAATAATGAAGAGCATTTTTGTCCCAAAGATGTTCATCACATAATTGCAATATTGGAAAGCTGGGAAATAATCTTAGTGATCATCAGTAAACTAATAGCTAGGAAAATTGTCTTGCATCAGTGTTGGAATGTTAAGTAATTTAATGAATTGGAAACAGAGAAAGAAACAAGCAGCAATGGCATATGAAAATAGGGCATAATATTGTATAAATAATACAATTTTATGTTTATAAAATGCTCTTATAAAATAAGCATTGAAGAGTGGAAATATCTAAAATATTCCTAGTAAGATTATCTTTCTTACACATTTCTCTATTTTTCAAAAGGTTTATCTCATTTATATATAATTTTAAAAGTCTATAAGTAAAAATTATGTAACTATTAAATTGAACATATTAAAGTTATTGTCTCTTTAATATTATAGGTTTTTTTTTTTATTATAGACAGTGTCTCACTAGGTAGTTCAGGCTGGCCTTACACTTACTATGATCCCAAGCTGGTCTCGAACGCATATGATCCTCCTGCCTTAGCCTGCTGAGTGATGGGATTACAGGCGTGTGCCTTATAAAATTTTTTGTAAGTTTTATCAGGATTCTGTATTTCTTCCCCATTTTTAAAAAGCCTTAGGTGGACCTCAGGTCTAAATTCATCACAGTTAATTTTAATTAATCATACTCTATGACTTATGACCTGGCACTGTTGTCATTAGTCCATGCATAGCCCATTTTTTCCAGCTTTAGTCACAAAATCACCCACCAAAGCACCATTCATTGCCACCTACTTGGCAGCCTACTACTGCTATATATGGTCCTTGATTCCCTCTGCCTTTTTAATTCCGAAACTCTGCCTCTTCCCAGCTGAAACATAGCTTATCATTATGTTGATCATTCTCTCACTTTCCCTTTAAGTCAAGTTTTATTGCATTTATAGCTATTCCTAAAGAATATGTTGTTTTGTTTTAAATTTTATTAAAGGATATCACATTATATGTATCCTTTTGAGACTTTTCTCAGTATATTGCTAAGACTCATGCATATTACTGCATGAAGTTGTGATTATTTTTTGACTGTTCTGCTGTATGTTATTCTAGCAGTCTAATAAACCATGGTTTATGGACATTTAAGTTATTGCAGAATTTTACTATTGTGCAGAGTAGTGTTGTGAATAATTTTATACTTGCTCTTGTGCATGTGTAAGAATTTCTCTTGGTGATATACTTTTGAATGAAATTTTAGGTCATAGGATAAGTTACATGGAAGGACATTATAATTTTAAGTAGTATTTATTATTCAAACATCTGTATGTTAGATATATGACTTTTAGTCTTTGCAGGTTGCTTCTATTGTTTGTCTTTTCTAAAACTTACACATCTTTACATCTCTTTTGTCAGTCTTTGTCTTTGAATTGGTGAGTTCAGTCCATTTACATCTATTGATACTTTGAATATAATTGACTTTTTATACTATTTGAATCTTATTTTATTAGATCCCACCTTTTCTGTTCGTTTTTATTCTTTTTTTATTGATACCTATATTTACCTTTTAAAAACATAAACTTCAATATGCTTTCCTATTTCTTTGTATCCTACTTCTGGAACCTTTATCTTCTGTTACACTGATGTGACAGTATTTAGTTCTATGTTTTCTCTTTTTTATTGTTCTGGGTATTCTCCCCAACCCTATTTAAAGGTAACTAACTTTCTCAAGGTATTTAGTTACTTTTACTTTGTATACTGCTTATAACATTTTCTAGGTTCATTTTTTTATCTGTGGTTGTTTTTCACAGATTAAAACAATTGTGGTTTGGAAATACTCAGAAACAATTTGTACTGGACATGTAGAAACTTCTTTTTTCTTTGCATTATTTCCTAGACTGCATAGTACAACCACCATTTTTTTAGTATTTTAAGTTTTTTAATTAACCACCATTTATGTAGCATTTATGTTGTATTAAGTATTCTAAGTAATCTAGAGATGATTTAAAAATATATGAGAGAATGTACAAAAATGATATGCAAATTCTGTGCCAGTTTAGTGGTTTGTGTGTCCTTGAATTTCACATTCTTAAACCCAATCTTCCGCAGGTACTGAGAGGTAGTTTTATTTCATCCCAGGCTGTCTTCAGTAGTTTCTAGTAGCTGCTGCAGCCTTCTGTGCTTCACAATAGCTTAGTTTTTTCATATTTCAGTGATATTTGGTTGTATGTAATTTACTTTTTACATGGTTTACCTTGACATGGTTTACTTTTTACATTTTTTTTTACATGGTTTACTCTCAGTTTTTAAAAAAGTACAACTTTATTGTCTTTTTACATCTGTAAAATCTGCTATCATCCTCATTTTTATATTCTTACGAAAGGATATATATGTGTTCTATCTTTCTCTTTACATGATTATGACTATCAAAAAGCAATTTCTAGCCAGGCATGGTTGCACATGCCTGCCATCCCAGCTGTTTAGGAAACTGAGGCAAGAGGATTGCAAGTTCAAGGCCACCCTGGGCAATTTAGCAAGACTTTATATCAAAATAAAATAAAACAGGATTGGAGATGTAGCCTAGAACTCCTTTTGTTCAACCTCTAAGTTTAGGTGGAGATATTCCTATTGGTAAAATAAGTGGAGATATTCCTTCCGGCAGTCTGTGGGTTTTTCCATTTAAAATACTCGTTTTTAATTGCTAAAAGTTGATCTTTATTGTTTAGACAAGTTTAACTTTTTAATTTTTATTTATCTTTTTGCAATTCTTATTACCCAAATCACTATCACATCTGTTTTTATTCTCTCCATATCTTCACTTTTTAATGAATCCTGCTTTTAAATAAGACCTTTGTAGCCAATTTTGGAAAGTAAATTTAAAAAGAAAAAGGAGAGAAAAAAACAATTTTCAACAATTTTCGTATTGTAAAGTTAATATTTCTGTCAGTGTGTATAATTTTTACTTTAAACAGTTTCGTGCTTAGACTAGTTTTTCATTCTTGGTATACTAGTACCCTTATTTGTATTGTATTAAGAATTTTTAAGACTTGTTTAATGAAGAGTCATATTTATTTGTATTTTCTACAGATAGTGGAGTTGGAGCAGGGATTGATTCATATTATGAGTATCTGTTGAAAGCTTATGTCTTGCTTGGAGATGACAGTTTTCTGGAAAGATTTAATACAGTAAGTTTATAAAATTTTGTGTTAATTTCATAGCCAGTTTCATTTAAGTCCAGATTTTGATAGACACTCAATTACTGAAGTGACAGTCTTAAAATAATTGTTTTTTTAAATGTACTGTGTAGTTTTTTTTTGTCAATATTCCCTGATGATGTTGGACAGGGAGGGGACTATGTCCAGTTCCAAAAATTAGTGTAGTTTTTGTCTCTCATCAGAAATTTTTGGATCTTCCAGTAGGGATAAAATATGTAGGTTTGAGGTTTTTTAAAAATACAAGAAGTGTAGATATTGAAACAAGTTACAGTTAGCAAGTAACTAACCCTATTTGCCTATGTTTTTCATCTATAAAAATGAGAGTACTAGTACTATTTATATGGCTATTGGGGAAATTAAGTGAGCTTAATATATGAAATGACTAGAATGGTGCTTCAGTATGTGTCAGATACAAAGTAATAATAATTAAGTAATATTTGGTAGCAAAACAGAGCAACCTATTAAAAATTCTAATATATCAATTAAATACTATCATATACTTATTAGATTATAATAGGATTTTCTTGAGGTGAATGAAGACAGATAACTGTTTTTGTTGAGTTGGAAACACAACTCTTCTGTGATCAAAGCTGCAAAGTATGTAGAAGATGAAAAAAGAAAGAGAAAATGTTTCTGAGTGCATAAAAGGCAGAAATAGTAGACCAAAAGAGTGATAATAGTGATTAGATGCTTTAGTTTCAGTAGTGGTGAGCACCAGAATGTTATATTATGAGAAGAGAACTCATTTCCTAGACCCAGGAGGAGACTAATTCTTTACTGTAGAATTCTGTTATCTGTATTCCAAGGAGGCCTAAGAACGTGATTGGGATACAAAGCTATACTGACCGTGGGCCAATCTCATAGGAGATAACGATGTTCAGATCTGTTCCCCTCAGAGCATTCCTTATTAAATATAGTCTTCAATGTTCTGCATCTGCGTCAAGGATATATGCAAATATATATGCTTTAGAAAGATTTCCATCTAAAATAATTTAAATATTTACAGTTAATTGACAAATGGTGAGTTTATTTGTAAATGCATTAAATTCAAGCTCAATTTCTTCACTGTCCTATTCAATGTGTTTAGAGTAGTACATCTTCCTTCATCTACTTTCGTGAACACATTGTTGTGATCTTTTAGCACTATGATGCCATAATGAGGTACATTAGCCAGCCCCCTCTTCTACTTGATGTGCATATCCACAAACCAATGCTGAATGCTCGGACTTGGATGGATGCTTTGCTTGCCTTTTTTCCAGGTTTACAGGTATAAAGAACTCTATTTTCTGTTTTTGTTTTTGGTACTGGGAATCGAACTCATGACCTTGCGCCTGCCGGGCAGGCGCTGTGCCGCTGAGCCAGGCAGGCACTGTGCCTCGGCCCTTATTTTCGGAATAATAAAATAAAATTGTTTTAATTAAGAACATTTATGATTTCTAAAAGTGAGTGACAAAATATAGTCACATTCTACAGTTGTATTAATACGCAAATTTCTGTGTGTATATATAATGTTACACATAACATTAACTCATATTTTATTAGATTGTTGTTTTTGTTGTTGACTTCAGGTTTTAAAGGGGGATATTAGACCTGCTATTGAAACTCATGAAATGTTATATCAGGTGATTAAAAAACACAATTTTCTCCCAGAGGTAAGCAGTTAATCTTTTAAATTCTCATTTACATTTATAGTATAAATTGCTTATTTAAAGAGAGAAAATGTCATGTTTGTTCTTTATTTTTGTGGTTATTTAGTTATTTTTGGTTTATACAGAATTATTTATGTTTTTGCTTTTCTTCATGTATTAGGAAAAGTATAATTTAGGATAATGCATATTAATTGTATTTTAAAACAACCTTCCAATTGACTGTTTCTCAGACCTTTCTGACCATGACATTGCAGTCTTCCATCTCATCTCACCCCTTTATTTCTGTGATACTGGAGGCTGAACCGAAGACCTCACCATGCTAGGCAGGCTCTCTACTACTGAGTTATAATCCCAACCCTAATCATTCTGATTTTTAGAATACTTACCCCTCTATGTTTACCCACCAGATAGGGAGTGTTACCCTTTATTTTCTGAAGTCTGTTTGTGAAAACTATATGCATTAAATATAGTTTGGATGGTTGCACATGCTTCCTGGACATTGGGAGAATCCTGACTGAGAATTGCTCTTCCTTTTTTAAAAAAAACATTGTTAGTCATAAATATTTATTTTTAAAATTTAAAAAATTTTTTTTTGTTTTTTTTTCCAGTACTGGCAGTCGAACTCATGACCTTGCGCTTGCTAGGCAGGCGCTGTGCCGCTTAGCTAAATCCCCAGCCCCCGCTTTTTTTTGGTTAGTAATAAATATTTAATAAATATTCTTGTTATGACAAGATTTTAATAGCATACTTTTTGGCTTTCCAGAAATGTGCCATTACAAATTTCCAAATGTGTGTGTGGCCTTATTCTAGCCTTGATTATTGACTACCCTCTGTGAGATATCTAAGCATTCCACCAATGTAGAATGCTCCCTAAAGTGTTTGTCTGGAAAGTATAGTTTTATTAGCTTCAGGTGAGTAGGACATTACATTGATAAGGTTCATATCCATGCAGAATAAAACGAGGTTTCAACTAAACACATAAATGAAGTGTTTATCTGGTTGCCATAAAAAGGGGGTTTTTTGCTTTTCTTTTTTTTAAACTGGTTGACTCTGTCTTGAGTAAATTTCAAATAGACTAATTTATTTTTAAATAATTATCTTATTCCACAAATGACTTGAAGTTGTTATAAAAGAAGACACATGCTGAAATAATACGAAGATAGAAATATATATATACTATAGTACTTAAAAATAGCTAAGAGTAGATTGTGTAATTAAGAGGAAAGGTAAAGAGAAGGAAAAATACAATTATGCAGACTGTCAGTGTCCATGTATTGACATTACTGAGTTTCATTACTTCCTTACTGATGTTCTGTGATTTTCCCAATAGCCCAAATGTTTATTTAAAAGTAATGCATTTATATTGGTAAAAATAATATCCTTGCAAAAAGAGTTTGCAATTTTAGCGATGGAAATTGATGTTTTATAGATGAAAATATATCATGATTGATATTTTAATTACTTTTACAATGTATCATTTAAGATATACTTCTGCCTATTCTAGAAGTACTTGTTTATATTTTAATCACATTTATGCCTATTGTATGACTGTTTTCCAGGCATTTACTACAGATTTCAGGGTACATTGGGCTCAGCATCCTTTAAGACCAGAATTTGCTGAAAGTACTTACTTCTTATATAAAGTAAGATAATTTACCTCTTTTTGCTTTTCGCCCCCTCTCTCTGTTGGATATCTTACTCCTTTATAACAGAAACTGGTATTTAATATTATTATAGTTGAATATATTAAAATTTATATTCATCTGGCCCATAGAATTACTGTGGGATGTAAGACTTCACATATGTATTTTATGCCTGTCAAAAATATTTGTGTAAACATGTTTTAAAAATAAATTTTCATCCTAGTGCTGCTTTTTAAAGCATATCTCTTGCCTTTCTTTTATTAGGAAACCTTTTTAGGCATTAGAAATCTAATCTCAATGCTAATGCTTATAGTCGAACAACTCTTAAATTATTTAAGAAATTCTGTAAAGCAGATCAAGGGCTTATTTTTAGATCTAGGTAGGTTCTATATAACATGCCTGACACAGTACCTGGCATCTAGTAGCTACTCAATAAATATTTAGTAAGTGAATGGCTATGATAATGTATAATATGTGTATGTATAATATATTCTCCTTTTTAATAGGCTACAGGAGATCCTTACTACCTTGAAGTAGGGAAAACACTTATCGAAAATTTAAATAAGTATGCTAGAGTGCCTTGCGGATTTGCTGCCATGAAGGATGTTCGCACTGGAAGTCACGAGGACAGGTAAAGAAATTGCTAACATCCCCTTTCCTCAGGGTACGCTGAAACAGCACAAAACACAGCTACTTGTGAGGATTCAAATAAATTTGTTTTACAAAAGATATTTGAGGTTGCAAACCTTAGTTCATTGTGTTTATTTTTCTTCAACTCTTTTGAATAAACTCATTTTAAATTGATTAAAAAGTTTGTATTGTAGTGCCTGGGATGTAGTAGGTGCTGAAATGATTTTTATTTATTTATTTTTTGTTTGTTTTCTTGTCTTTTTGAGACAGGGTCTTGTTATGCAGTTCAGGCTGGCCTTGAGCTCACTTTGTACCCCAGGCTAGCCTCGAACTCGCAACAATCCTCCTGCCTCAGCCTCCCGAGTGCTGGGATTACAGGCGTGCACCACCACCTTTGGCTCTGAAATGATTTTTAAATGATGAATGAATGATTGTTAAATATCAGAACTTGGCATATGAGTGTAAGACATACTGTTCCTCCTCCCATTAAAATATTAGAAATTATCAAGGTGATGGTGAAAGGTCCTCATTATAATTCATATTCAATCAAGAACTCCTCACAAACGCTTCCATAATATGTGTACACTTATTCTTGTCCTGTGTGGTGAGGGGGGAAAGACCAGCAGTAATTCCTGTGCTGGGTAGATGGGGACAGCACGAAGTATGAAAGTATTTCAAGCTATGAAAAGCACACTTTGGTCAGTGTGATAGTCACTGATATTCCAGTTACTCCAGGATCATTTGTCTGGTTATCACGTAGCTAAACGAATGCTGCAGCCTTGTTTGTTCATTTGGTTAGCAACTGTCCGTTCCATGTTTACTGAGGCATCTTTTTATGCTAGCATACTAGTTTTTGAGGGTTATGGATAGGAAGACATATCCTGTATGTCATTGAATCACTGAGGACAGGCTAATAAATAGACTTTTAAAACTCTGTATAAGTACTGTGAAACAAGAAACAGACATGAAATGCAAATTGACATGTGATGATCACAGAGTAAATCCTGGAAGTCCACAGTCCTGATGGATGAGCAAAAGTGAGAGGATGAAAGAAGTAAAGGAAGTTTCAGGCAGAAGAACTAAAGACCTGAGAAACATAAGGTTGTCCCCTCAGTACTTCCTCAGAGCATTTGGATAATGGCTCAGTAGGTTTGGAACCCCTTTCCCTGACAATAGAGAAGGAGAAATTGGAGGTTTCTGGAAACAGGTGTACAGATAACAGCAAGAAACGCAAGCAGATATTCTGTGTATTGCCTATAACATTTACTGACTATTTCCTATACCTTGGGTACTTTTCTAAACATTTGTACTTTAACTTGTACTTTTGTACTTGTACATTTTAATGTACTTTTAACTTGTACATTTGTACTTTAACTTGTACTTTTCTAAACATTAATACTTTACCTCTGAAGTGTAATTCTGTTAGTCTTCATGGTAAAGATGAAGAAAACAAGGTAAGGAGAAATTAGAGAACTTGCTGAAGATCACACAGTAAGGCTAAGGTCAGAATTCTAATTAAACACTTGGGCTTTTGACAACTACGTTATATTGGTAGTTTATTCAAAGAACAACTAAGTACCTCCTGTATGTGAGGCACTGCACTTAAATATGAGGATGAAAATTAGAACCAGTTCTTGCCCTGCCCTGGGTTGTAATTAGTGCATAAGATAGGTGTGTAAAGAAATAATTACAAACATATGATACATGCTTTAGTAGAAAAGGAATAACAAGTTGTGGAATTATGAAGGAAAATGTTGGTTTGTTTTTGTTTTTTTTTCCCCAATACCAGGAATTGAACTCACGACCTTGTGTTTGCCAGGCAGGCACTGTGCCGCTGAGCTAAATCCCCAGCCCCAGGAAAATCTTGTTAACTCTGTTTATTTTTTATTGATTGATTGATTGATTGATTGATACCAGGAGTTGAACTCAGGACCTTGCACCTGCCAAGCAGGAACTTATGCTACTGAGCTATACCCAGCCCAAGTCAACTCTGTTTAGAGAGTTCTAGATTTTAGAATTCCTTTTTTTGCCTTCACCAAATATCCTTTAATGATACTGTTTTTGGGACCTCTTACTGCTGCTTTGCCCTATTCTGATGTACCCTAGTATTTCTTAAACTATCATGTCCACAGACTGGAGATGTAGCTTGGTGGTGCAGTGCTTGCCCAGCATGCGTGAGGCTCTGGTTTTGATCCTAACACCACAAAAAATAAAAACAAAAAATAAATCATCTTCAGAACTAAAAATATTTAAGATGTACCCTGCATACATCGGAATTCAGGGAGGAGATTGCTAATTTTTTGAGGAGCTAATAGGTTTGTACCTGTCCAGTTAAGGATTGTTGCTTTGTCAGCTTACTGTTCTCATGGTGCTATTTGACCTTCCATCTGTGTTTGGCCCAACCAGTATTTGAGAACTATGAACCTTCATTATACTGTATTATTAGATGTGCTCTAGGTTTATTAGCTTTATTGATAAGTTCAGCTCACAGTGACCTTGTGATTGATCCCAAGTAGTCTCAGAGACTTACCTATAGCCCGGTGACACATGGATGTTCTCCACCATACTTTGAATAGCTATTTGTTGTTATTGAGCAGCTGTTTTTTTAATGCAAACTTAGAACTTTATATTTAGCCCAGCAAAGTTCTTTGTTTGTTTCCAGACTAGTGTCATTTTAGTAATGTAATCTTCTAGCTAAACTTCAGTTTCCAGTGATCTATAGTTTGGGTAACTATACTGTAAGTTTTTTTTCATCCAAATTATTGGAAAGAAATAATAGGACCAGGACCAGTACTTCTTGACATGGCACTTGAAAGCGTTCAGTTACAGGTTGTTTGCATTTGGTTGCTTATTCCCGTGCAGGTCTCTTAGTACCATCTTCTGGCTCACTAGCACCCTCATGCAGCCCCTGACGCCTACAGTTTTTGAAAGGAAAATTGTCTATATTTTCCTAATCATAGATGATTACTGAAAAGAATTTAGATGTCAAAAAAAAAGAAGGAAAGAACATCTTTTAGGATACTCTCCCCTACCCGCCTTAGGTAATTGTTGTTAGTAATTTGATAGTCTTTCAAGCACTTTTGTCAGTGTGTTTATGTACGTGTTTATGTTTTTATTTAAATTGAAATTTTTTTAGTATATGTTTGCAGTGTATAATCTTATATTCATCGTGGGGAGTTCGTACATGCACATAACACAATCTCAATTCTTTTTATTTTCTCCTCCCTTCTCTCCCCACTCCTTCCATTTTTGGGTCCCCTTCTCATTTGGAAAGTATGTTTATGGTTTTTTAATACAAAGTAGATCATACAATACTCAACCTGCTAGCTTTCCCTGTTTCACATTTTAGTAACCTTACCAGGTCATACTTTTTCCTAAAGGTTAACAAATCAAATTTTATAATCAGTCTACAATTCTCAAAATAACATTTGCTCATGATACTATCAGTACAAAAAAGATTAAATTATGATAAATGAATTGCAGGTTGATAGGAAAGGTTTTTATTGTCTACTTATTGATACTGAAAATAGATAAAAGTTCTAAAACTTCACAATGAGTTTTCATCCCAGAAGCTTTTAAAAAATCATTTATATGTAAGAGAAAGAAAGACTGTAGTTTTGATGCCATACACATCCCAGGTGCTATGCTAAATGACTGATATATAGATTCTCATTTAGTCTTTACATCAGTGTTATGAGTATACATCTTATGTTTCTTTTTACAGAGATTAAACCAAAGCCACAGATTTATAATCCTATAGATTATATAACCCTGGAGATTCTATAATCTCTGTGGTCATAGAGCTAGTTGTGAAAGATATATCTGTTTCCAAAGTGCATGGTCAGTTGTCTCTCCATCTCATTCTTTAGTAATCAGTTTAGTGTTTATTGAGTACCTACTATGTGCCAGGAATTGTGCTTGGCCAGAAGTTGATATTATGCAGACTGCCCAGCAAACTATCAATTTGTACTGCTAAAACCTTGTGTGTTGTTATGGCTTATGTCTAGATGTCTCCCTGAAAGCCTCTTCTGGTCATAGGTGGGGCTTTTCAGAGGTGGCTGGATCTAGGGTGTGTGATACTGGGGTCAGTTAGTCCACTGACTGATTTTGCACAGTTCTAGCTAGAGTTAAGGGTGCCCCACCCTGGGAGTAAGTGTTACTTGCTCTAAGGTCAGGTAGCTTGGATTGAATATAAGGGACAGAAAGAGGGTCATTGCTTGACAGTAGTTACTTGTCTCTTCTGCTGCCTGTTGCCAGCTCTGTGATGCCCCTCTGTCATGCCACCCTGCCTTGGAGCCAACTTACTATGGACTAAACCTCTATAAATTGTGAGCCAAATAAACCTTTCCTTCTTTAACTTTGGGTGTCAAGTATTTGTCCCATCAACGAGAAAAGTAACTAAGGCAGAATTTGGCACTAGAGAAGTGGAGTCATTGCTGTGACTTCCCTGACCATGTTATTGAGGAGCCTTTGGAACTGGCTTTGGGAAGAATTTTGAAAGGGTTTGGAGATGCCAGCTGAAGACGTGGCTCTAGAATGCCTTAAGCTACACTTGATGAGAGTTTGGGGTCAGAGCTCAAAAGACCAGGTGCTCATAGAAATACTGCTAGTGAGCACCAGGCTCAGGAAATTTCTCCTATGCAGAAGGACTGCATTGGCTGTTGGACTCCAGATGATGTGTGTTAATGCCTTGGTAGAAAGTTTGTCTGCATTTTGCTCATGTCCAGAGACTTTGCTTGAGATCAAGAGTCTGGGTTGCAGACTACCCTTGCAGAAAAAAATTTTCAAAATAGTCTAATGTTGAGGCTGTGGCATGGCTACTGTTTGGAGCTTTTAGCCAGATCTATGTCAAGAATCAAAAACAAAGAGCCCAGTAGAATGATTTAAAATGTGAGTTTGGCCAGAAAGGAAACTCCATGGGAGCTGTGGACTACAGAGAGAGAGCACAGAACTTGGTTGCTGAAAAGGAATAGGACAAAGGGAAAGATGGCCTGAGGACATCACAAGAAACAGCAGGATGCCAGCCTTTGCAGCTGTAGGGTTGCAAAGGTGAAAGAATTTGCTTTAAGAAGAGAGCCAGAGAGCACCACATTCCAGAATGGTGGCAGCCTAGAGAATTTGTTCCTCAGGATTGGGTTCAGAGCGCTCAGCAATCCAGGCATTTGACCCCTATAGCCAAGAGAGAAGGACACCTGACTGCTGCTGCAGCTGGCAGCAGACCTTGGCCTCATTCACATGGTGCTGGCTTTAGGTGCATGCAGAATCAGGAGTTGGGAGGTCAGGAAGACTTCCACTCAGATTTCAGAAGGAGACCTGGGAGGCCAGACACTGTGCCCCTGAGAGGTCAGTGTGTGAAACTGTGTAAGAGTGAAACTGAAGGTGCAGAGGAGACACTAGAAGGTTAAGAAGTCAGGAGAGTGGTTCATTTGAGAATAGCTGCAAAGAGTGAACAAAGCCGGCCAAAGAGAGAAGTCATAGAAGCTACAACCATCAGAAGTGCTGTAGGGGTGGAGCCTCCCAACCCCTTTGGAGTTCACATCCTGCTGCAGATTGCCAGGGATGGTGGACATGGAGCTATGGGATTGAATGTTTCCCCTACTTGATTTTGGTCTTGCTTTGTTCCCATTGCTTTCTGTCGCCCTCTTTGTACCTTTTGGAATAGAATTGTCTATTTTGTGCCATTATATGTTGGAAGTGTTTAACTTTCTTTTCATTTATACAGGGGCTCACAGCTAAGAGCTTGCCTTTAATCTCAGAGTAGACTTTAGACTTGGACTTTTCAGCAGTGCTGAAACTGTTAGGACTTTGTCAACTCTTAGAGATGAACTAAATGCCTTTTGCATAAAGGGATGTGCACAAGTCTTTGGGGAACCAGAGGCAGACTGTGATGGCTTGTGTCTAGAAGTCCCCCTAAAGCCACATGCGGTCATAGGTGGGCTTTTCAGAGATGGCTGGATGTAGAGTGTGTGATGCTGGGATCAAGGTTGTATAGTTACTAAGTTAGTCCACTGATTGGTTTGACACAGTTTGAGGTGTGTATAATGGGAAGGCCCTCTTTGAAGGTAGGTAGCCTGCATAAAGTGTAAGGCACAGAAAGAAGGCTGCTGTGGTTGTCAACTGTGGCTTGCTCCTTACTGCTTGCTGCCTTCTACCTATCATGAACTGTTCTTTTTTTCTTTGATACTTGTGTGCCATGCTACCCTGACTTGGAGCCAGCCAATTATGTATGAGATGAAACATCTACACACTGTGGGCAAAATAAACCTTTCCTCCTTTAACCTTGGGTGTCGGGTATTTTGTCTCAACAATGAGAAAAGTAAGGCAGATGCTTTGGGACATAGTAAATTTAATTGAATTAGATGTTATAACTCCTTTTGCCAGCTGTACTCTTTTCCTGACACTTTTCTTTCAATTTTTTAAAAAAAATTATTCAAACTTTATAACATTAAATCATTCATAAAGGCACATACTTTTATTCTCGTTATTTCTCCACATTCTCTCCTTGACAGGTATATACATATTTACAAAGTTATAATTATAATACACATGAATTCATATTTTCTTTTCTTCATATAACTTTTTAGAAGTGATTTCGTTTACCTTTAAATGGCTACATAATAATCATCATTAAAGTTGTATGACTTGAAGCCAGGTGTGGTAGTGCACACCTGTAATTACAGAACTTGGGAGGCTGAGGCAGGATGATTGCTGAGAGTTCAGGGTCAGCCTGGGCTACATAGTGAGTTCAAGGCCAGACTAGACTGCAGAGTGAGACCCTGTCTCAAGAAAACAACAAAAACAACAAAAAAATCATACGACATAATCCAGTTCTGTTAATATTAGTTGAAAATTCTCCTTTGGGTTTCAGTTGTAAAAGTCATCTGCATTACTTCTCTTCTGTTACTTCTGTAGCAGAAATAGAGGACTTTGCCTTTGTGGAAGGTTTATACAGAAATCTTACCTGCATGGTTGGCAAGATTGACAGCGTCTGTCAATGTGGTGTAGGCAGCTTCTCTGATATTTTTCCTGGTAGTGTGGCTGGAGTCACGTCATCCTGACACTAGGTGACTGATGCATTCTTTAGGTTTTTGGACATCTGAATCATTGTAGATAAAGTTACTGCTCTTGACTCTGACTTTCAGATACTTAACACTTAAGTATTTCTAATGTTCTTATATTTATTTGTGGCTTTATTTTAGAATGGATTCTTTCTTCTTGGCCGAAATGTTTAAATATCTTTACCTGTTATTTGCTGATAAAGAAGACATTATTTTTGACATTGAAGATTACATCTTTACAACAGAAGCTCATCTATTACCCCTTTGGCTCTCTACTACAAATCAAAGAGTCTCTAAGAAGAACACAGTGAGTTTTTAAATTAAATGCCTTAATTCCTTTTTTACTTCTATACATTTGCTTCTCTAGATAAAAAGAAATCTATGACTAGAATTCAGTAAATATGTATGGTAGGAGAAAAAGTATATGTTTCTTATTTTCTTTTATTACATCCATCAAGCACTCTTATTAACAAACCATAATGTTAAGTAATACACACACACACACATATATATATATATATATAATATACATGAAATTCTTTTATATTGTAGACCTCGGAATATACAGAACTTGACGACAGTAATTTTGACTGGACTTGTCCAAATACTCAGATTCTGTTCCCTAACGATCCACTGTATGCCCAGAGCATTCGTGAACCCTTGAAAAACGTGGTGGATAAGAGCTGTCCTAGAGGCATCATTAGAGTGTAAGATGTACTATTTTATATTTGTTAATATCAGCTAATTCTTACTAAATGACAGAATTTTAAGGAGCATATAACAGCAGTGTTAAAAAGCATGTAGTTAGACTGAAAATTTAAAAGATACTTCTATCAAAAATATTGAGGTATGTAATTGTCACTGATTAAAAGTTATTAGCAAAGTTAGACAGTAAAGCTTATTTTGTAGTAATTTTTTATAGTAATTTAATGGAGATTTTCTTTTGTCTAATAGTAGTGAGTTGATAGCATGCAACAGTTTTTAATTTCTGTAGCTTTTTTTTTTTTTGGCAGTACTAGGGATTGAATCCAGGGACTTCACACTGAACTCATCCCCAACCCTTTTAATTTTTTATTCAAAGACAGGGTCTTGTTGAGTCACAAAATTGCCTGGGCTGGGCTCAAACTTGTGGCCTTTCTGCCTCAGCCTCCCAGAGTGCTGGGATTGCAGACATACCTACCATGCCTAGCTCTTTTTTGATTTCTTTTTTTTTTGTTTTTCTTCCGGTACTGGGAATTGAACTCATGACCTTACGCTTGCCAGGCAGGTGCTTTGCTGCTGAGCAAAATCCCCAGCCCTGCCATGCCTAGATCTGTAGTTCATTTTTTTTTTTGCACCAGGAATTGAACTCACGACCTTGCACTTGCCAGGCAGGCACTATGCCACTGAGCTATATCCTCAGGCCTATAGTTCATTTTTATACAAAATAGTTTCATCATATATTTCTACATGTCTTAGATGTGTAAGAAATATTTTTCCTTATGTCTATATTTCTTGTGTGTTGAAAACTCAATTTTTTGTTTTGCTATCTTTTTAATTTTGGGGGTACCACTTATTAAATAAAATTGTTAAATAAAAATATTTTTGGCTTCAAGAATTCATTTTTTCCAGATAGGTACATTAGAAAGGCCACCTCAAAGATGTAAAAAAGTTCAGGTGAACATTATCATTCACAGATACTACTGTGGCTTTGGTTTTAAAATATTGGGAGAAAGATCTGTGTTTTTATAGAAGACACCAATAGTAACAAATCGCCAAGCAAACTATTCTAAGATACCAATAGTAACAAATCCCCAAGCAAACGTATTCTTTACTTTCAAATAGATAGTTATGATATTCTTGATTAGTACTGCCTTATATAGATGATATTCATGTTTTTATTCCTTGAAAATATATTTGAAAGCTGTATCACTTACTGATAGCCAAAATAATAAGTAGGAAAATACTTGTTTCCAGTTACTCCAGTTTCACTAATTTTAAAATCAGCAATTTTGAAAATATATAATATTAGGCCAGGGATATAGCTCAGTGGCCTGGCAAGCCTGAGGTCATGAGTTCAATTCCTGGTACCAAAAAAAAAAAAAAAATTATACAGGATATTCATGCCTGATATTATATAAACAGCCGATTTCTCTTGATAAAAAAGTGATAGAGAAAATACATAATGTTATTTTTATTTGGCTTATGTTTTTACTAGTTCTAATCTGTATTTTTTTAAGCCTCACCTCTAATTATTTTTAGCAGAGAGGAGAGTTTCAGGAGTGGAGCTAAACCCCCTCTAAGAGCCAGAGATTTCATGGCCACTAACCCTGAGCATTTAGAAATCCTGAAGAAGATGGGGGTGAGTTTGATTCACCTGAAAGATGGGCGAGTCCAGTTGGTTCAACATGCAATCCAAGTAAGACATTGCCATACTGATTTGATACCATCTCTTCTCTTTTCTTTATTCTCCTTAGCTTTAATAAGATAATGGCATTTGAGTTTTTAAAAAAACTTTAAATATACAGTTTAGAGAATCAGAATTTTGGATTTAGAAGTATCTTGGAAAGTAATTTAATTCAACTCGCTTGTAGTATAAATAAATTAAATCAGGTTGGGTAATTGGCTTTTGTTGCCACAGTCAAAGATAGGGCTCAAATCCAGAATTTCTGTTTCTTAGTCCATTGTCTTTCCACTGTTACTTTTATTTGGAGTATAATTTTACACGTTAGTAGCTAATTTTAATAATTATATCTCAGTATTTCAGATTAGTTTCCCAGAGCTAATGACTCTTAAGTATTTCTTTTGTTAAAGAAATCAATTTGTATGTATTTGTACCTAGGAAAGATAACATGCGTTTCAGGGAGATACTTATTTTTACTGTAAAAGTTTTTATACTGTAAGACCTTTAAATTATTTACCTTGATTTTGAAAAAACTACAGAGTTTGCTGAGTAATTGCAACCTAGACCTGGATTCAGGTGTCCCTTACCTCCTTCCCACCATCTTACCATTCCCTTGCATTTTTATCTCGTCTGTGCTCTTGTTGCATCCATCCTTCATTAAAAACGTGTTCTTCCTCCTTGCTTAGGTTTCACTCAGCCTCCCTAGTAGTGAAATGGCATCTCTAGCTCTCACTTGGGCCAGGCAATGATGTAATTGCCTTCAACTTTTTAATCCTTAATATGATTGAACTTTTATGTAACTGTTAACTGACCCCTTCTTATGTCATTTTCCTTTCTCCTAGGACATTCCAGCAACATAGATTTTGTTTGTTGGGTCTCTGTTCATTGCTTTGTAGATTTCATTGTAGCTCTCCCTGCTTGGTGTATGTTCACTGGAGGCGCTACCAGATGACATTCTGTTTTCTCTGCTTTTCAACAATCTTCCCTATTTCTACAAGCTCAGCTATGAGCTTTGTGTGGAAGACTTCTTAGAAATACATATGTAATGCTGATGCCTGACTTTATAGCTAACCCCAATTTAAATGTAATACATTTCTGCATCTCTGTTCATCCTATCCAAACTCAGATACCTCTTTCTCCCCTTACCTCAGCTTTTCTTTTCTTACTTTGTTGTCTGTGACACTAAACCCTATTATCATTCTGTAAGTTATCAGTGCAAGAAATTTTAGGATAAGCTTGAACTTCGTTGCTCAACTCTCTGTCCTCCAGCTTCAGTCAAGTTCTGTTGGGTTTTTTTGTAAAGTGTCAGAGGTGCATCTTGCTTTTTCTACTCTAGGCATTCTTAAGCTTTTCCACCACTAAGGTTCAATCCAAGTGTTATTCCAAATCTTCCTCAGATATAAGCAGAATCAGGTGTTCCGTGTCTGTGGTCCTATTGTACTGTCCTTACTTGAGAAATTTTATCATAGTTAATTTTACACGTCTTTCTCCTCTAGAAGACTTAAAGGACCATCTCCCCAGTGCCCAGCAAGCACTGGGATAGAAAAGATGCCCTCTGATGTATGGTTTGAATGAAATTGAATCTGTTCCCAATTTCAGGGAGGTAGGCTATGAGTCAGATAGGTTTATTTCTTCAAAGGTGAGGGCAGTGGGAAATCGAGGAAGGGGAGCATTTCAGCATTTGATTGAAGTCCAGTTCTCAAACTGCATCAAAATTGGTTTAGAATTAGAATGGTGAAAGACATACTGATTAAAAAAAAATTCATTTATTTTCAAAAACTATAATTTCTGAAAGTAAAATTTAAAGACAAGTAAGGCTGTAAATATTTAATAGAGACCTAAACTGAAAGGAGAAATTTTGAGCAGAACAGTGTAATGCAGTATATTTAGGAAATAAAAAAGGTTGATGAAGTTTCCAGGAGGAAGGATAAAATTTACCTGTTTCCTTTATAGGCTGCTAGTTCAATTGATGCTGAGGATGGATTGAGATTCATGCAGGAGATGATTGAATTGTCAAGTCAGCAACAAAAAGAGCAGCAGCTCCCTCCGCGGGCTGTACAGATTGTTTCCCACCCGTTTTTTGGCAGGGTAGTATTGACTGCCGGTCCAGCTCAGTTTGGGCTGGATCTGTCTAAGCATAAAGAGGTATGTCTACTTAAGATAGTCTTGTTGAAATCGAATTTAAAATATTATTAAGTACTGTTTAACTTCTTTATCTCTTAATTTAGTAGTTTTAATTTACTTTAGAACCCCAGGGGCTGGATATAAATAGCTTAGCCACAGACCATATGCTTGACATTGATGAAGTTAGAGTTCAATGCCCAGCACTACCGCCATAAAAACAAAACACCTAAATGTTCAGTATCAAAGATTTACATAAACTAGAAGCATATCTTCAGAATTATACATCTTGCATATAACAATACAAAGTTTTATGTAAAATATTTTTCAGGGTGCTGGGGTAAAATTCAGTGGTAGAGTACATATTTATCATGCACAAGGCCCTGTGCAAATATTGCTGAGTAATTATAGCCAATTTCTTGGTCTCTTCTCTAATTAAATACCTTCAATTTATCAAAAATGACTTTTCAGGCTTTCAAATAACTACTAGAACCTTACTTTGAACACAATTTAACTCAGGCGCTTCATGAAGAAAACAGCTAAAAGCGGATACACTCTGGCTGCAGTGGCTGTGGAGAGTGAGTCCCTCAGTGCACTGAGCACACTTTGAAGACCAAGCTGGTTCATTCCTGTAGTCCTAACCTAGGAGACAAACACCTGTGTCGCTAAACATTCACAGGGTTATCACACTGAAGATTGCAAAGCTGGGGCAGAGCCCGAGGATCCTGACCATCTACAGTCAGAGCTCTTTCTGTTCTATCATTCCTAATTTAAGCTGTTTCATAATACTGTATTTTAAACTATATAGATCGATTCATTTAACAGCTCTTACTGAGCACCTGCTGTATTCGGGTCAGTGTTTGGTATGCATCAGTTTACAAAACCAAAAAAGATCTAGGCTCTCTTGGAGTTTATATGCTGAGAAAGAGACAATACTAAGACATTTTTGAAAAATCCCTTCTATGTTGGATTTAATTTATCTAGGAGGAAAAAGTTGTAAATTTGTGTAGACGAAATCATTTTTTTTCCTCTTTCAAAACCTTTTTCTGGTTACCAGTATGGTTTAAAAATTGTTTCTGGCTATTGTAGATGTGAGTATAGGTATGTAGTAAATTTGCCTATAGGTGCCAACTTTGCCACTTACTAGTATTTTATCTTTGGGTAAATTATGTAACCTGAGTCTCAGTTTTCCCATATGTAAAATGGAAATAATATTTATATTGTTTCACTCAAAGTCATTATAAAGATAAGGTTTAGTAATTTATATAAAATGCTTTACCAATGCAAAGCACATTGTAATGATACATGATGCAATTAAAAAGAAAAGCAGTCTAGTTTCCTTAAAACACTAGATATTGAGGCCTAATGACTAGTTTGTAATCTGAGAAGAAAAAAGATTTGAGCTACTTTTATTTCTGACAGACAAGAGGCTTTGTGGCGAGCAGTAAACCGTACAATGGCTGTTCAGAGCTGACTAACCCTGAGGCGGTGGTGGGAAAAATCGCGCTGATACAGCGAGGACAGTGCATGTTTGCGGAAAAGGCACGCAACATCCAGAACGCAGGAGCCATCGGTGGCATTGTTATTGGTGAGTAGTCCTCTGCCGTTCTGCTGATCACTAGAAGGTAGTTTTTAGGAATTTTTCTTTCAGTCTCCAAACATTTATGAAAAATTTTGTCAAATTATTTTAATTTATAAAATGTAAAGGAGAGAGAATTCAAAGACTTAATAATTTCCATATACCTATTATCTTGTTTTTAAAGCCTAGATGTGAGTTTGTGTGTATTAATGTCAGTGAACATAATTGGGAGTCATGTGTAAGGGTGAAGTAAGAATGGTAAAAATGCCCAATAATGTGGAAAAGAAAATGTCCCCAGGAGGTTCGAAACCCCTGTAAGGTAAGAAGGAGACTCTCCTACCTCCATTCCCACTGGACGTGAGCTGCTGAAAATTTCCACCCCGCCGCAGCACCAGGCTGTGGAGGCAGGGTCAGACAGGTGCAGTCCCGGGCTCTGCCACAGGAGCTGCCCGCCTTGGTCCAGCTTCACTTTTCTTTCTAATCTTTTTTTCCTGTAGAATATTTTTTGAGCTTTAGTGAAAAGACAGTAAATATCTTTTAGACGGTTGTCAGTGGACTTAGGTATAAGTAAATTGCTAGCAAATGTTTATCCCCCTGGATCTTTTTCCGCTGAATTATAAACTACCAGCTTTAAATAACTTACTCATGTATCTCAGCCAGTGAGTTGCTGTTTTTACCTTTCATAGAAAAATCACTTACATCACGATAAGCAGGCCATGAGGATCAGGTGAAACAAACTTTTCTGTTTAAAGTAAGGGTTTACATTTCGAAAGAACTGGAAGGCCTTGGTTCGCACCTTAATTGAGAATTCTGTGTATTTTCTCTTACTGGGAAAAATTCCTTCTGAATCCTTGCCCTTCTACTCAATTAGGATGATTTCTTAGTTTAGGGAAATAAAGACACTTAAAGGGCAGTGGTTGTAGCTCAATGGGAAGTTCTGGATTTAACCATCAGCACCATGGGGAGGAAAAGGACAATGACGAATTATTTACTGTTCCTTTTGTGTATTACTAATGAGTATGCTAATGTTGACTTAATGAGTGAATAAATTTCATTAGGTAAATGTAAGTATTAGAAGAAATTCTGTTTAGTAACTTAAATCAGCACTTGGCCAACTGCCCTATAAATCAAATCTAGCTCATTTTTTCTGTTTTTCTAAATAAAAGTTTTATTGGGCCACAGCCACATGGATTTGTTTCCATGTTGTCTATGATTGCTTTGAGCTTTACAGAGTTATACAGTGAGTACTGTAGAGCCTAAAATACCCACAGTTTAGCCAGTTACACAAAATATTTGCTGACCCCTGACTTAAATCCTCTTTATTCCTGGTTATCTTTCACATTGAGATTATGTTTACTGAAAAACCTTTGGTTTTGCCACTCTTGTCATTTTGAACATCTGTTGCTTACCAAGACTTAAAAAGTAGACATACAAAGTATAAAAAATAGTATGAGACATATGCGTGTGTAACTATATGTGTGTATATACATGCATACACATAAATAGATTGGTTTTTATGCAGTAGTAGGGATTGAACCCGAGGAACACTGAGCTACATCCATAGGGCTTTTATTGTTTTCATTTTGAGATAGGTCTCACTGCTTTGCCCAGGCTGGTTTCAAACTTGTGATCCTCCTCCTTCAGCTTTGCATGTAGCTGAGATTATAGTCATGCACCAGCATACCCAGTTGCATTAATGTAAAAAAAAATCTTTTTCTTGTATAGGATTTTGGATTGCCCCAATGGGGGCAAGAGCATTAATTCTCATGGTATTCTGTAGTATGCAAAGATTGTCAAGTCAAGTGTTTTGTTTAGTAGCTATTAGTTGCAGAATCTTCTACTAGCTTCTATGGAGGAATAAATTTGACAGTGGTGGTTATTTTCAAACAATTTTTTGAAGAGCAACTTTCGTGTTGTGGCTTACTGCTCCTAAGTTGTATTTTTCTGACAAGGCATTTTGTTTTTATGATTTTAATTATTTATAAATGAGTAAATTAGAACTTAGGGGTTTTATAGCAATGACTAAAAGTACAAATTATCTTATGAATCATTTGGTTGCAAGAGATAAGTTGGATTAAGAAGGGAGGTTTGTTCACTATATGGAAATGGGTTATTTTCACTGAACCTGAGAGTTAAAATATAACTGAGATTTATCAAGAGACAGAAGTGGGAACTAAAAATCACTAGGAACCATGACAGCTAACAGTTTTCACCTTTCTCTCTGTCTCTGGGCTCTCTTCCCTCTGCAACTTGGCCTTGTTTTCCAGCAGCTTCTCACCAGTCTGCTCCTGCTTTGTTCATCAGTTCCAAAATACCCTTCTGCCTGGCAGCCTCAGCCCTAAGACTGTGGCACGAATGGGGTGACTCCCCACCATTAACCCACAGGCCGTATGTGTTCCAGTTTTAGGTTCCCCTGGTAAACAGGGTGAGGTAGCTGTCCTTGGTCTAAGCAGTAATTTCTGAGAGGTGGGTCAGACATTTTATTCTCCCCTTAGTAGGTGCCTCTGAGAGCAGATCTCTCTCACTTGGGATAGGCAGCTTCTTCAAGGATACTGGCTTGTGAGACTGGGGGCAGGGTAGTGATTGGCATCTCCATTATAAAAGACTATTTAACAGGCCTACTAATTTTTTTTTCCAGTACTGGGAATTTAATCCAGGGCCTTCACACTGAGCTACACCCCCAGGTCTTTTTGTTTTTTTGAGGGGGGACATAGTCTCACTAAGTCTCCAGATTATCCAAGCTAGGTTTGAACTATTCCTGCCTCAGCCTCCAGATTAGATGGGATTATAGGTGAGCATCACTACACCTGACATATCATTTAACCAAAATAATAATATTTAATTCAGCTCGTAGAGGGAAAAATCACTGTAGTCATAATTACTCTTTGTAAGTATTATATAAAAAAGAACTTTCAATTTGTAGTTTGGTAAAACCAAAACACAGTTTCTCAGTGTACCTTATCCAAAATGTTGGGGACCAAAAGTGTGTCAAGTTTTGCAGCTTTTTGGTTTTTGAATACTTGTATAGACTTTACTGGTTGATTATCCCTAATCTGAAAATCTGCCTTTTTGGAGCATTTCAAACTAATGATGCTGATCCTGTATCTCAAACAACAAAAATTTAGTCATAATTCTATCATTGTAATAAAGTCATTACATTTTTCCATTTCTAGGTTTTTCCTTAAGTATATGAAATTCTTATAGTAATAGTTATAGAATTTTCTGTTCTACATTTTTCATACATTAATATTATTGTTTTTCTGTATATCCTACCAAATAGTTCACTATTATTTATTTATAATGGTTTATAATTATGCACAATTATAAATGGCACTCCAGTAAAGTTCTTGGGCATACAGTTGAATTATTTCCTTAAGATAAATTTTTGTAATTAGTGAGTCTAAAAATTATGTTTGTTTTTCTTGTTTTTGATGCATAAGATTAATTCTGTCAACAGGTGAAAAGCAGTAACAGTAGATAAGTCCTTAGTAGATGGGTGTCTTGATACTTGTTGTGTTCACTTTCCGGCTAGATGACAATGAGGGGAGCAGCAGTGATACTGCCCCTCTGTTCCAGATGGCGGGGGATGGGAAGGACACAGATGACATCAAGATCCCCATGCTGTTCCTGTTCAGCAAAGAGGGAAGTATCATCCTAGATGCCATCCGGGAGTATGAGGAAGTAGAAGTGCTCCTTTCTGATAAAGCGAAAGATCGAGGTAAGGGTGGAAAAGGTTTTTATGCAACTTAGCGTTAGTTTTACCTGTTTGATAACAAAAATGAGTTATAAAAGTGGACCTTTTGGTTCATTAAAAAGCAGATAAAATTTTTAGAAGGTAGTTCCAAAATAAGTTTTTCATTTGGAAATAAAGAGTAGTAAAACATTTATTTGCTCTGCTGAATTAGGATATTTATAGAATGATATTTTTATATGTAATTTATAATTTTTGCCGTAATTCTGTCCAGTTGATAAATATACAGCATCTTTAACATTTACAAATGTTCACCATTCAATTTTATTGATACTACGTCTTACATTTTTTTTTATAAGGAGTAAGAATAGATTGTATAGAATTGTGTTATATATAGTACGTGATCTCAGCAGCCACTTGCAGTCACAGGAGTCACAGGACTGCTGTCTTGATAAAGGCAGTAGAAACCTAGCGGCTTTTCCCCACTGCAATCTAATCAAATAGACATTCATGAGTTCTAAGAGTACCAAATGGCTGTGCCTGAAGAATAAGATAGCATGCCTTCATTCGTGAACGTATACAGTCCTTTCTAGGTCAAAATGTTTATAGCAAGTTTAAAGCTCTTTCAACCCCTACTATACAAAGGCAAGGTCTTACTAGTATTTCTGAGTAGCTTTATACCCAGGGATGGAGGAGAGATGAGGGAAAGTGAGCCATCAGACATAGGCTCTACTATGGCAGCCAACATTCCTGTTGACCAGGAACACCTGTAAAGAAAGCCGTACTACCCAAATATATAGAGTTGTAGAATTTGTATAGGGCTGTTATATTATCTAAAGTGTTCGAGAGCTTGTTAGGAGGTTCTAGCAGGGGAGTGCAACTACTCGTATACCCTTGACCGAGGAACGGTCCTCCTCTATCGGGGGTGGTCATCCTCTTGGACTGAGCACGCAGCTTCGGGAGGGATGCACATGGGGTGTTGAGGAAGGGCACACCTGTCTAGCCAGCCAGAACCGCCAAATCAACCCTGCAATCAGTGAGGTGACAGACGTTGCAGCCTGATCACCCTCACATCTATATCTAAAGTGTTTGATAGGAAATCGATTCAATTCAAATGGGACAGCTTTTATTTTAAAGTGCATCAGTAATCTAATGCTACTCAGTGTTTTGTCTTGTCTTCTTGTATTGCTTTATTCTTCGGGATTCTTTGAATTGTCAACTATTTCAGGGCAGTGGAGTGAGTAGGATGTAGGAATATAAGGATATATAGATGAAAACAGATTTTCCGTCTTCTTAAGTCCTCCTACATATCTGGTCCCCCTTCTCTTCAAGTCCTTTTTCTAAATTCAGATCTTCTTTTCTGCATATATTCAGTTAGGTACATCAAACATAAGCAAATTAATATTATTCTATGTAACTCTTTAATACCTTTGCTTTTTCCCCCTATTTTGTGCTACCATTGGAATTTCAGCAGCAATATTAAAAGGTAAAATGATTCCAAGCTACATTATTAATAGTAGTAAGTATCTTGCATTAAGTAAGCCTCAAATTATATATGTATATGTGTGCATGCACACACATACACATATAATTTTTTCAGTGAATATCCTGATAATGTCTGATTTAATATAATTAGATTATTTTCATGTCTGGTCAGCTGTCCAATAATAATATTTTATTGATCCTATCTTAACAAATTCTATTAACTTTACATTCCATATAATAGATGAATTCACTAGTCTCATATCCATCCAAAACACTCTAACAATAGCATTGTTGTTTAGGTATTTATTACTTTGTATCATCTTTTCCCTGAAGAAACTATAAAATATTTAAAATGCTGACTTCTTTTAAAAGCTCATGGTGGGGTGGTGGGTGTGTAGTTAGGACTGCATGATTATGATAAAGGATGTGCTTCCTATGTCAGAGAAAGGGTAGGAGAAGTGACTGATTCTACTTAAAAAAAATCTTGGCAAATAGTATTTCTTTAAGGATCTTGCCGGAAAGGGATATTACTTCGTTGATACTTTAAAAAACATTGGGATAGTCTGTAAATTTATTGAATTGTGATTGTTAAACATCTTAAAAATTCCCTTTTATGCTGAGAACCATACAGCTATATTCACTAAATCAGTAGCATAATTATTATTTATCTTTGTAACAGAAATCAGTGATAGTGATTAAACAAAATCAATTATGATTATTCGCTTAGGATAATATTCTAACAAGATAAAGTCTGTAGTGTGGTTTGGTTATTGTTAACTTGTACTCTACGGTTATCACAAACCTCCGTGTTTCTCTGTGGTATTAGAATCAGCTGATGACTTGTTAAGGATACAGCCTGCTGTGTTCTGCTCCACAGTATGGAATCAGACTCTCTAAAGGCAGGGGTCACATTTTAAACACTCCACAGGGGTCAGAGATAGCTGGTTCCTCAACCAGACTTAGAGACACACTGAGCAAGACCCTGAAGGCAGCTCTTTTCTCTTCTCCCGCAACCCTACGTATCTGGCCATGCTGTGCCATTATGTGTCCCAGTTAGGATTTCTTAAGTATACCAGATAATACAAGCTTCAAAACTCAAACAGTAAGATATCCTCCGGATTGTCCTTTGTAAAACTCTTACTCTACAAATAAATATTTTTCTTTATAAAGTCATACAATGCTGATTGTACAGTCCTTTGCACATTTACTGTATTTTTAATACAGAAAGTAGACGCTGCCAAACTCCTACTCCATTTTATCTTACCTGCTAGCACCAATTTTCAGATAATACATATTTTTCTTCAGAAGCTAAATTAGTAATTTATCAAGTAGGGATGTTGCTTTCATGGATCAAATTAGTGACACTTCTAAAAATTAAGTTGTCCATAATTTGTTATTAAAACGTTCAATTTCGTGTCTCATCTTTCCAGAATTTCAGTTCATAAAGAAACTAAATAATTCCAGCCCTCTGCTAACAAACAAAAGTTAATGCATTTTCACTTTTAAATCCAAATGAAAGTGGTTTACAATTAAGAATCAGTTTCCTTTTCTTGATGATATTTGTCAAGGGGAAATAAATCAACATTATAAAATTCCAGAACTTTGTCATGCTTGGAACTTAGAAGTACAGTGCAAGCCGATAGTGCTTTAAGGGTTATAGATAAGTTTTTCCAGGCTACTTCTATATTTGTGACTGTCTAGTAAAGGGGCAGACAGAGAACATGGGGGAAAAGATTTTTTAAAACTTCATTCTATGAACTGCTCTTGGTTAAGTCAGGCAGTATCAATCTTCCTAAGATCAATACTGAAGTGGGTTGGGATGAATCCATGCTAGAGTTGAACTGTACAACCTAGGTTACTGTTAGAAAGTTTTTGATCCCAAGGAGAAAAATCTAGTATATAGGCAGGCACGCTTTTGTGTAGAGAGGAACATCCTAAACATTCTTATTCACAGGATTGATGCTAACCTACCCACCCTTTTCTAACCAGAGCTTGTTTTTACATGCTTTTTTTTTTTTGCATGTCTCTTCCCTCTTTCTGGAAATGCCTTATCAGTTCCTGTTTCCCAGCCTTAGAGAATGTTTAGCCATCCTAAATACCCAGTTAAAATGCCACCTTCTATATGAAACATTCTCTTATTCTCTTACTAAAAATGTAAAGATGTCTTTTTAATCTAGTTCTGTGGTATTCATATTCCATTATATAGTTCTTCTGTTTATTGCTCTCCATAAACACTGTATAGATGAATGCATGAATGAATGATTGTAGTAGAGCTAGTCTTTTAAGTCTTTGCCAAGCTTCCCTTCTTCGTTTGTTAGTAAAACTCAATGATTTTATGTTCTTGGTGTCTTAAAATATGCTCCATTCTTTCTTTGTTGCTGGTATACCCTTTCAAAATTTAAAGTTCTATTAGTTAGGCTCCTAAGACTGTGATCTCACGTAATAGTGAAATCAGTATTGTACAAGTGTAGCATAATTTATTTATTTTATTATTGACTATCCATATTTTTTCCAGGGTCTTTTTGTTTTATTTTGTCACTATACAGTGATATAGAAATCATCCTAATTACTTGTCTAGAATTTTAAGATTTACTAAAATGGAATTCTGGCAAAAAGAATATGGATCTTTCAGTCTTGATAAATATTGCAAGTTGTAATAACAATTCACATTTCTTCCAAGATACAAGAGTGTATGTATCTCCCTAATTTTACTCACAATATTTCTATCGATAGGCATATTTTTCATTGAGCTTCATCTTGCTTTAATGGAAGTGTGTATCTATGCTAAAGAGTTCTAAGATGTAGGCTATAACTAGAGCAGATATATAAATAGATAACTAGAGCAGATATATAAATTACTAGAGCAGATATATACATCACTAGTTGAGAAAAATATCCTCAGAAGAAGTGATGTATGGCAGATCTAAATAGTAGTGCAAAGTTGTATATGGTAGACTTATCTATAAAGTTAGTAATGAGGTCAGAAACAAATTGGTAAGTTAAGAGCTGGATAAGTCAGGGTAAAGTAATCAAGACAAGACTGAGAATAATGTGCAGGTTTTATATAGTGTTGGCTGATTCTTTTAAAAGTTACTTAACTTTTCTTTAACATATATTCTTCAACACAGAATTGAAGATGATTTTATATAGTTCCAAAACAAAAAGTAGAAGTGAGATTCATTTAAAATTAGTATATAATTACATACTTTATGTATAAATTAGGAAAATGTTAAATATTGACTTTCCAGGAACATACCTATAAATTTAATCAGATCTTGTTTTATGTTTTTATGATTGCATAGTATTAAGCAATATGAGCCTTATGCCTCTTATAATGAATTTAGTTCTTTTTTTTATTATGAAAAGAATATATGGTTTTATTATTAGCTAGTTATTACCACTACACAGGAGTTACTGGTATTCAGTTATTTTAGTCCTTCTTACCAAGTTCTTTTATTAATTTTAATAGTATTTTTAAAGTTAGAATTGCTTTGAGTTTTCATCCATATTCACGATCTTTTAATATGTATAATTCAACAGTTTTTTCCTCATTTACAATTGTTCTATTTTCTTACCCTATTGCATTTGTTAGATTTCCAAAAATAGTATTGTGTCATATGTAACTTTAGGGGAGTTTCTAGTCATAAGCACACTCTTCCTTACTAGAGAGAACAACCCTGTCCTTCTAAACTAGAACAATATCATCCAGAAAGAAACTTGAAGGTTTTTCTTTTTTTTTTTTTTTCTTCTTGGAACTTATAGTACCTAGCATAAATATTGTCTCAGCAGCCAGCTCCCTACTTTCTTTGGGCTCCACCATGGTTTCCCTGTCTAGTTAAATTATACCTCTTCCACAGCTCAGAAAACAGATGTATGAGGACTCTTCCTCAGCTTTTCAACCTACACACCCGCCCCAAACCTAAGAATAAATTTCCCTGTTCGGGTAATCCTGCCTGAGCAGAGTGAATACACACTCATCCACCTCTGTCTTCTTGCATGTGCACTTTCCTTTAGTGTTTCTTACTTTATGGTAGGTCCATCTTCCTTTCTTTGGTCGAAAGACTACTTACCCTTTAAGTCCCAGTTCAATTATTATCTCTGTAAGAAACCATTAAATTTCCTTACTTATGTATATGCTTTCCTAACACCACATATCTTGCTCTCAAAACATCTGTCACAGTTGGATTTTTCTGTTCGTTTTGTGTGAATATTTGTAGATACAAGATGCATAAGGGCAGGTATAGTGTTTTGCTTTTGCTCGTCATTTTCTTGTTAGTACCATGCACAGCGAACAGCTGGCCCCGCTGGCTGGCTGTGTCTCAGTGATAGAGACTGAGCCGCAGCCTGAGCAGGATGTGCCATGTGGGCTTCAAAGCTGTTTAAGCACTTATGGAACGCTAAATGAGATGCTTTCGTTGTATATTTATTACTAAAGCTTTAACCTACTTTGCAGGCTGTTAGTGGCGTTTAGAATGTTATGTTTTATAATTCGTAGACATAAAATAATAGTATTTTTGTAAATCTCAGTTTTTGTTTTTGTGAACGTATTTTGATCAGTCGCATTAATACCCATAATCATTCAAAATCGTGTTATCTGAATATTCATGGCTTACTAGTTACCCTAATTTTGCTTTTCCAACACACTGATACATGCTATTTACAGCTTATTCTATTTGGTATGTTCTCATGTGCATGCTTTCCTGAACTTAGGTATTTAATAAATTTTAGGTAAACATTACACATTTTTGTGCATTTTAAATTATTTAATGTATTTCTTGGCATTTACTGATATGCATTGAAGCCTGTTTTATCAGTTGTTAATTTGAAGCATTTACTTTCTAAACACTGACACATTTTACAGAGCAAATGTATAGGAAATATTGCTTACATTAATAGAAGACAAATCATTTTCTTTTCAGTTCACTGTTCTGCATTAATATAATGATTGTTAACCTTTTATGTCTTACTTGTATCGTGAGAAATAGTATGGCTTTTTAAGTGTACTGGTAAGGTTTTTGAGAGGAGAGTAGCATGAAATGTTTCTTTTTTTATACAGATCCTGAAATGGAAAATGAAGAACAGTCTTCCTCTGAAAATGATTCTCAGAATCAAAGTGCTGAACAGATTATATCAATTTCTCAGGCAGTTGATTTGGTTGATCAAGAGTCTCCTGAGGAAAGCTCTCTCAGCTCTCACGCAGACTCATCTTCAGCAGACCCTGACAGTGCTGCAGTTTCCCCTGCTGAACAGACTTCTAATCCCTCGGAAAGCCAGGAGCCTACCAGTCTGGATGGTGAATGTACAGATCTAGATAACCAACCTCAAGAACAGTCAGAAACTGAGGAAGACTCCAGTCCTAATGCCAGCTGGGGTAAAAAGGTCCAGCCTATAGATTCCATATTAGCAGACTGGAATGAAGATATAGAAGCATTTGAAATGATGGAGAAGGATGAACTATGACTCACTGAAAAATGTGGTGGTAGGTATTTAAAAAGAAAAAGTAAACTGTGGTTAGAGACACCCTATACTACGCAGGCTCTCCAAGGGGCTTTTTAAGTATGGTGATGAGCAACCACGTTCTGACTGGGAGAGGTAGTTAGCATAGGAATCTGGAGCATGTTGCGTTAAAATTGACCTTGGTTAGACTGTCCCATCAAAAGTGGAAACTCACAATTCCCCCTCAAACGACAGCATGGCACAACTTGCAGCATGCCCAACCAGGGAAAGGCAACTGGGAATTCCTGGGAGCTGTGTTTCTACTGTCTCTGGGTAGACAGAAAAACTCAGTTAGCAGTGGAGTAAGGAATTGGAATTTATAGCTTTCTAATTAAAGGAAGCTTGACTTTGGGGAAGATACATATGGGTATTGTGGCATTCAGATTATGCTGCCTTCCCCAAAAAAGCAAAAACGAAAAATAACAACAAAACACTCTAAGTGACCTAAGTGGTTATAAAGCAGATGCATTCATGGTAACAGTTTCTGCTCATCACTTGCTTCATTCAGTGGCAGATAATCAAGATGACTTGGTGTTTGTCCCTCTTAACAGTGTCTTCATCTAAACTAAAGGTGGAGCCAGTGTACTTTCTTAGTGAGTTTTCTACCTAAAGACTAATCAGTGAGACCAGGTCAAAAGACATAATCTGAAAATTGGTTACTTCTGTGAAATGGAGCAAGGGAGAAACCATAACGCTGCATTGTGAACTTCCCCTTGGGCCTTCCATAAGCAAAGCTGGGACAGCTCTGAAATGAAACTTAGCATATATCCTTGTGGGGTAGATTATGAATCTTTGCAGTTCATTTTGCTGTGAGGTGATTACCTCCAGCCATCAGCCTTAGTCCACCCCATGTTTAGTATACAGTTTGAGCCAAGAGGCCCATATCACCAACAGCTGAATATATTTTATTCCACTTTTCTGTCTTGTGAAGCCATGATATAATTATGGTAGTGATCTGAAATTCCTTGGGTAACTACTATTTTTCTTCTCTGAAATTTTGGTTTCTAAAGCTACACCTAAGGAGTCTGTCATATTTTATGTTGAATCATGAGTTTTGGGTTTATTCCCATTTTAACAAATATTCATTATGATATGAAATTGAAAATTAGTCTGTACAAAAAATTTACATAGTAGGAAATAAATTGCATAGCCATGTAGTTTAATGAAAAATTTTTCCCTTTTCCTCTTGGTGGCAGTCTGATGCTGGCCACATTTAAATTTTAAAATGTTTATTGTTAATATTGTTAGACAGCCTGGGTTTGAAATCATGGCTTTGCTCATTTTATTTATTTTTTAAACTTCTACTAATCAGTTCCAAAGGAATATTTGTGAAGCCTGATTTCCTTTCTTTTTCCATGATATTACATAATGACCTTTTCCTAAAACATGGTTTTGAGGTACTGAGTAACTTATATGTGGAGTTGTTAAAGAACAGCAATGCTGTGTTGTAGTTATGTATATTCATGTACAGTATGTCTTAGATCCCAAGTAAATATTCTTTTATAAGAGGATAACTACTTGCTTCAAAAATTCCAGCTAAACATAATTGGGTCAGTGAGTAATAAATCTAATAGAGAATTTGCCTTGGGGAAGGGAAAAAAATAGTAGTATAACAAGGCCTTTATCGGCCCTTAATTAAACTTGACACCAAAATGGATATTTTTAGTCCCTCTGCATGTCAAATTTGAGGTAAGAAGATAGACCTATAATACATACAGCTTACAGAAAGATAGACATAGTGCTTTGTTCATTTTAATTGCAAAGCTGCCAAAATAGCTGAAGCTTAATTACTTGACTTGCCTTGATTGATAGGACTGGGTCTTGGAGAAAAGGAGCAGATGTTCCTGTAAGACTTTGATTACAGAAGCCTTATGTACATTGATTTGATTTTGTATGTGTAGCTCAGAGCCATTGTTGTCTAGGTCTAATTCTTCTCAGTTATCTAAACAACATAATTTTTTTTTCCGACAAGGAGAACTTAATGGCATGAGGGATCCTGTGACAGATGCACTAGGAAAAGCCAGCTTACTGCCACTCTCCCTTTCTTTGGCCTTTAGAGGGAGCCGTTGTCTTTTACTGAGATTTAGAAGCAAATCATTCTCTTGTTTAGAAAACTAAACCCTTTTTTAAAAAAAGAAAAAAATGTAGCTAGTTATACTTAATACCCAGAAGAAATTACACCAGTTTTCCCTAGGTAAGAAACAAGATACAAGTTCAGCTTCAGAATACCACCATTATACTGTGATGAAGTAGTTTTTGAGTTCATTAAAAAACTCCAGCAGCATCAGATTTTTAAAACATTTTTTTGTTTGTTATTTTGGTACTGGGAATCCAACCCAGGGTCTTGCGCTTGCTAGGCAGGTGCTGTGCTGTTGAGCTACATCCCCGACCTAAAATGTTTTGTTAAATACCTTTCGTAGATACTTTATTTACTTGCTAAAGGTTCAGGGGATTCTGCCAGACTCTGAATTTAGAAACATCTGGTCTACCTCAGTTAAATGTTGACTGCTTAGAAATAGAGCTGAAAAGATCACCACAGCCATAAAATTATTTGACTAAGAAAGATTTATACAATGTTTACAAACCTGGAATCAAGTAAGACTTTTAGCTGAAAGTTAAAAGATGGAAGCAAGTGTTTAATTCAGGTATTTTCAAATTGAATTTGTTTGCCTATTAAAGATAAAATAGCTATAGTTATTTTGCATATAAAAGTCCATTGAAATGACACACCCTAATTTGCAATACTTTTCCCATAAAGCTTTAAGTGAAAAAGAATTAAAATTACTAGACATGTTTGAGATGGGATACTTATTTGAGTAAGTTTTCTCTTTAACCTGTAATAGGCTTCTAAAAAGAGCATAATTGTTTCAGAACAAATTATTTTGTGATTTTAGTTTTCAATTTATCTTCACAGTTTTAGAGATTTTTAAAATGAGATTGTGCACTCTCTGATTTTAATTTCTCTAATGTAGTCACTCTCCTGAGAATTTTTTTTAGATTGAAATTACCATCACACAACTGTTTTTATAGCAATGCCAGCGTTCTCTCACCAGACCCCATGCCAAATTCATCATAAAGAAAGCTCAGCATAAGTACTTCAAATAGTTCTTACAATTTTAGAGGGGGTGGGTAGAATTTAGTAAATATTTCAACTGGTTGTTTTATGCACAAGGCTTCAGTCAGAACATAGAAAAATAAACATTCTGTGAATGAAACATTGTATGTTCAGATTTTATAAAAGACATTTTTAAAAGCCCAATTTACAGCCGTATATTTTCTTATGATGTAATTTATGAAAAAGATGTCTGTACTAACAGGTGCTGTAACACTACTGTTGTTGGGTTTTATTGTTTGGTGATAAATGTATACAATATTTCTAAGGGAAATTATGTACTGTGATGTAAAAGTCTGGGCAAATTGTATATAATCCTTGTATATAATTGTGTATTTGATTATAATTACTGATTGTAAAGATTTAATAAACATGTAAATATTCTGGTCTGGTTTTAATTTGAATTTTGAGATCATTGTTGCATATCTTTATATTTTAATATATTTAATTTTTTATCACCTGTTTTCTTACTTTTCATTTTATCACGTGCCAGTGAATTTTGGGAACAGCTTCCAGTGTAGGAAGCCAGGCATATATTGAACAGTTCCACCTGAGACTAGTGCTAGAGAAATACTAATAATTCACAATGTCAGTATTGGGGATGTGTTTATGTTTTAAGTTAACTTATATTTAATAAGATTACGTGTCCTCTTAATGTTATCATCAGAAGTCACTAACCCTTCAATTCCAGTGAAAGAGCCTCTTCCTTTCAGTACTACCGTGGTACTTTGCTTTTCATCTGTACTCTTACAAGGTGTCGGACGGCGGGTATCGCCAAAGGCCTCTTAATAATCACTATTATTCATCGGTAATTGTTGTCTTGTTAGTGAGCAATTTGAGACTTGACCAGGCTCCAAGCATCTTACTCAAAGTGCCACTTGTAGTGGCTTTGAGAGGGGAGCTCTGGTCTAATTGCAGAGGCCAGGCCCAGGTCTTCGCAGGGTACTTCCCTCTCCCTTCCCTTCTCAGCCTTCTCCCCACTCCCATCCTTGTTTCAGTTTCTGCTTAACTTTTGCTCAGCTAGTCCCTTCCTACTTGACACTTCCCCCGTCAGAGATGGAAGTTTAGAAATGAGATCATTTATTCCCAGGTTTTCTGGGCAGTGATTCTGATGTCAGTGTATGCCCGTTCCTCCAACACAGTGACTGCACTGTGGTTTCAGGAAGTGTTGTCTTCTGAAAGATTTCAAAGGGGGAGGTTGCTTTAGCAGAGGGGCTCAGTACCTTAGGAGTTAGTGGCGAAGAGGAAGTCCCAGTGTCTGCCTGCTAATGATTATACTTCAGAAATCCAACTGGTTCGTCTTGTTCTTGGGTTAACGTACTTAGTTACCGTTTACCCTCCAAAGTAGCAAACGGGGCTAGTGATGGACCCCTTGTGGATTCTCCTAATCCATAAAAGAATGTACTTTTATTGTCTCCAAAGACAGTGGGCGACTTGCTGGTTAGAGTCCTGTGGTGCTTTATACAGCACATTTCTACCTAAGTTCAGTCTCAGAGCATCTAGGTAAAGCAGCAGCAGGTAATGTTGAGAAAACACCTTACAGTTATATGGTTATGCAGACACTTAGTTTAACGACTGAGTTCCATCCCTGCGACTAAATCGTTACATAAATTGATCGCTAAATGAGGAATTGTATGTAATATATACATTACAATATTTAGAACAAAGAAATGGTCAAAAGAAACTCCAACTTGATAACTTTGCTTTAATTTCTATAACTCCGATGTGCAGCATTGTAATGTATAACAAAAGTACAGTGCTGTATGGTACAATCAGCAAAAATCACGGTACCCTATAAACAAGGTGTACTGTACAAAAAAGGCATTGGGGCTCCATAAACAAGATGTGCAGAACTGTACACACCGAAAAGGACGGTCGTAAGTCCTAGAGGTGGGTCAGAAGTCTGAACTGCACGCCTCAGTTTTAAGTCCGAACAGTCATTAAACAGGTCATTAAACAAGGAATATCTATATTAGACATCATTTTATCAGAATAGCTCAATGAAGATGATTTGTTTCTCTTAACACAGGCTTTCCAATAACCTCTAAAATACAGCAGCCACCAAGTAAGTCATCACAGCTGGGTTCAGGTAATGCTGATCACCACATGTCGGCAAAGGCAAGGCTGAAAATTACTCAGAAAATCCAGGATATTTTATAATATCGAAATGATATAGGAAGTGCTCGTCAGTATCAGTGATTACAAAGCGTGCAATACAAGTATGATCGTTAGCAAAGTAAAGCATCTGTTCCTATATTTCCTCATGAGCCCTTGACTGACAGCTGCTTCCATGAGTTCTTCAAGGTTACCTTGATCGTAGAGTTGATGCTGCTGGAAGTTGTGGTGTGAAGTTTGGGCTCATTAATGCAGGAGCTTCTGCCGCTCATTGCAAGGAACCAATGAAACTAAAATATTACCGAGATATCACAGAACCATGAATATGCTTAATTCTGCAAAATTGAAATGCCTTGCCAAATACCCTCGACATTATTGGAGCCACTGCTCTGCCTGCTTCTGCAGTAAATTCCTTGAGGATAGTCAGCTAACGTATATAGCAAAGGAGCTTACTAGCTAGGAGTGTAAGACAAAGATGAAACAAAACAATCACAGAGACAAGAATAATTTATTGTTCAGTTGTTTCCACACAGAACCCTTGAGAAAATATGTACACCCATATGATACAAGACCTTTCTACATACCAAAATGTTTCAAAGGTAACATCTCTTCTAAAGAGTTTGTTTATATCTGAGAATTCAACTCCAAATGAATCAGTTTTATTGTCCCCTGTTGGAAGCAAATATTCCTTAGAATTGAGCCCAGTAACAAGAGTGCACTGACAAATTTTTCTGGCCCTTTGGTGCAGCTTTTCTGCCTGTATCATATGTGATCAACAGGTCTCATAAGACATGCTCCAAATCACTACCTTCTGCATTGGAGCAGGCAAACTATTTTTTGGATATCAAGGCAAAAAAGCAACCTCCAAAAAATATCAAGTAGTTTATTTTTCTTTAGTATCAGATGTAGAAATAATACATATTTTGAAGACATGTCTTTTCATGAATGCTATGCTTAGTTACACAACATGCTAAAATACAATAGCTACAGGCACTCCATTAAATAGCCAAGTTTCCTTCCTGCAGCCAGGTCGTTAAGCGAGTTGGTCACTGAACGAGGAATTGTGTATGGCATATACGTTACCATATTCCTAACAAATACATGGTCGAAGGAAACTCCAACTTGATGACTGCGCTTTTATTTGGGTAACTCCTACATGCGGCCTTGTAATGTATAACAGCATAAAACAACAGTACAGTACTATACAGGACAATCAGCAAAAATTATAGTACTGGATAAACAAGGTGTACTGTACAAGGAAAATAACTGAGGCTCTATCAACAAGATGTACAGAACTGAACCAAAAAAATTCAGGTCATAAAACCAAGTGGCAGGGGCTGAGGATTTAGCTCAGTGGCACAGCGCCTGCCTGGCAAGCGCAAGGTTGTGAGTTCGATTTTCGGTACCGGGAAAGCAAACAAACAAAAAAACCAAATGGCGAGTCATAAGTCTAAACGGCATGCCTCAGTCATGAATCCTAGCAGTCATTAAGTTATTAAGCAGGCAAGCCATTAAGTAAGAAATAACTGTAGTAGGATGTGACTTTTAAAAAAACTCAAAACGTCCTTGCATGGTTGAAGAGAACTGAAGTCCCTAAATAGACTAGTCTGAGTTAACTTCACCCTAAGAGACCCTGACCCGCCAGCCCCTCCCCTGCTGTAGAACGGGAGTTTCACAGCAACACAGGTACCGCTGACATAGGAATACTATCTCTGTCTTTTCTGAACCGCTAAGAAAACCCAGCTGCCCTCCATCTCAGAGCCAGTCTGACACTGCAAGCTATTTGTCTTCTTGCACTTCCCTCGCCTTCTAGTTTCCTCCACTGACAGAGCCTGTGAAGGTCTCTGGGGAGTTCCAGATAACTACCGCTCTAGAAATGCTGAACTGTTCATTCAGCCACTCTCCTTCCCACCTGTGAACTATTAAGCTGATTGCATTCTAGCTCCAGTTCCTTTGTTGCATAATTATCAACAGTCTGCAATCATTATTTCCTATTGTTCTAGTTCCACTTTGTCCCCTGAGTTAGATAATGCTTCAAAATCCCTAATCGTTTGGTCCCACTCGTTTCTCAGCATTCATCCCTGGACCTGGCTGTGATTCCCACTTCCCCCACTGTCTCTTCCTTTGCTGAACTACCTTGACAAAATCTTAAATATTATTGAGCACAACTGTGCCCTGTGTCTGTGTTTAATCGTATGTACTTCTTGGAACTGGATGAAATCACCCCCATTGCTGACTAGTCTCACTTTAGACCATGACTGAAAATCTCCAGGGAGATTCAGTATTTCCAAAAATTCCCGTCACATTATTTACTCACCCAGCTTTTCAAATCTCCCATTCCCCTTTGTTCACTGACCCGATGACCTCACCGCTGAGAAACAGATGGAGATGAGAAGACTTACACTAACCTGTCTGCTGAATCCACAGTGCCTGTACTTCTGCTTAGAAATTTCCCTAGTGCATAGCAGGACTTCTTCTACATTGATATTGGAGAGCCGGAACCCTAGACTTGAATCATATGGCTAGGAAAACGGAAGAACCAGGCTGCTAGACTCCATTTTACCACAAAGGTGAAGGGATACCTGGCGTCCCCCTTAATACCTCTTCCAAATGCGTGCTCTAACCCTGGAAGGAGCATCGAGTTGCCTCCACTACTGGGCCCTGAGACCACAAATGCTAGGTAGCATTCAGACACAGTGCAGCCTAATCCGAGGCCTAATAAGTTAGCTCTCTCCAAATCGACAAAACATGCTGATTTACAATCCTTTCCTTTCAGGAAAATTGGATATTTGGGGAATAAAACATTCACCAAAATTCTTTGTAACAAGCTCTTCTTATTTTTGTTTTATTTCTACTGCTAGTAGAAGTACAAGTCGGTACAATTTTTCCAGATATCACTTTAGCGGCACCCATCAAAACCTGTTCATTTCCTTATAATGCCGTCATCTGCTACTGGGAACCTGTGGAGATAATTAGAGGACAGAAGGTGAAAGTCTGGACACACCTAAATGTCTGTGGGCTAATGTTCAAGAATAGTATGGCACATCAATAAAGTAATGTGCATTCATTAAAATTATGTTTATAAAGTTTTTGATATTTATAAGCATGCTCTTTAAAGCTGATTAACTCTGCAATGCTTTGTTGCCCTCCTAGTCTCCAGGCACTGAACGGGCCCTGACAAAGGTGGAATGATGCTCAAGACACTTTCAGATCTTGTTCTTACGCATTTTACGTTCAAACCCAGAAGGCAGATTTTGAACAAGAATAACAAAAGTTATGAGGC